TCGTACATCAGCCCGGCCTCCCTTTGTAGCCGTCCATCGATGGGTCAGGCGAGCCAGGCTGAACAGCCCGCTTCCCCGGTGCCACAGCAGATGCGGTGGCACTGGGCCCGTGGCTGGCGCAATGGTACCAGTGGGCACCGTGGCCTCCGACACAGCCCCCAGTGGGGGTTCTCTCCGTGGCTGGAGCCTCAGAAGGGTCGTTGGCCTCCCTTTCCCGACCTCTGAGGAAGGAATCAGTGGGACATACATCCTCAGCACTGTGCCCGGAGGCCGACCAAGCAGGGCTGCCCAGGGGCGGGGCAATTTGCCCCGGGCCCCACAGGGGCCCCCATGAGAATATAGTATTCTATGGTATTGCAACTTCTTTTTAATGGAATGGGCCCCCAAAATTGCTTTGCCCCAGGCCCCCGAATCCTCTGGGCGGCCCTACGACCAAGTGGTAGATCCTCCGGTGCCAGTGGACACGCAAAGTATGGCACCGGCCTCCTCGCCCTCCCCTCCTCCCTCCGTCATGCAGGAGGACTCTAAGGCCCAAGAACTATTAAAAAGGGTGGCATCAAGCCTCAATCTTCAGATGGAGGAGGTGGAGGAGCCCTTGGACTCCCTGTTTAACATACTGTCCACCTCGGTACCGGGCAGGGTGCCCTTGCCTCTCCACCAAGGGGTGACGAAAATTTCAAATGCCCTGTGGCAAACCCCGGCCTTATTGGCCCCATCTCTAAGAGAGTGGAACGCAAGTATTTTGTGCCTGCCAAGGGACATGAATACCTATACAGCCACCCTGTCCCTAACTCCCTGTTAGTCGAGTCGGTCAACCACAGGGAGCAGCAGGGCCAACCAGCCCCTACTCCGAAAAATAAAAATTCAAGGAAGCTGGACTCATTTGGAAGAAAAATTTATTCATCCTTGAGCTTCCAGTTACAGGTGGCGAACCATCAGGCTCTCCTGGGCCAGTATGAGTTCAAGCTGTGGGGCTCTTTGCCCAAGTCAAGGACTCCCTCTAGGAGCGTGACAGGAAGGAGTTCAAAGCGCTGGTGGAGGAGGGTATAGCGGCTGCCAGGGCAACACTGCAGGCAGCGTCGGATGCGGCGGACACGGCCGCGCTGTCTATGGCCTCTGCAGTGTCCATGAGAAGGGCATCATGGCTCCTGCTCTCTGAGCTGTCCAGTGAGGCACAGACCTCCTTGAAGGACCTCCCATTTGATGGCAAAGCTCTGTTTGTGGAACAAATGGATATAAAACTGCATGGCCTGAAAGACTCCCGCACGACACTTCAGACTCTGGGCATCTATGTTCCGGCTCCAGCTAAACCTAAGTTTAAGCCGTAGCAGGCCACCCACTCTAAATATGATCTTGCTTATAAAAAGTTGTGGGACTATAAGAAATGCCCGCAGAGACAGTATCAGCTTGTCCCCCAGCCTGGGTCCTTCAAGGGCAAGCAGGCAGGGAAAAGGCGGTTTTGACAGGAGACCCGGGGTCGTCCTGCCAGTTCTCGTCAGGGTTCCACCCCCAATAAAGCGTCTCTTTTCCAATCGGTTGTGTGCTTTCCTCCCAGAATGGTCACAGCTGACCTCGGACCGATGGATCCTCAACACCATCTTCTGGGGCTACACCCTCCAGATTACTTCCACCCTGCCCAACCATCCTTCATCCCATCCCTCCTGGGGGACCCCTCTCATGAGGCTCTACTTGAGCAGGAGGTCGGGCTGCTCCTGATCTGCAGGACGCATACTTCCACATTCATATATTTGAGGGGCACAGACACTTCCTCCATTTCACGGTGGGGCAGGAACACTACCAATTTATGGTCCTCCCATTTGGCCTGTCCATTACCCCCAGCGTATTCATGAAATGTATGTCGATGGTAGCGGCCTATCTCAGGCGCTGCGGGGTCCAGATCTTCCCCTACTTGGACAACTGGTTGGTCAAGGGCAGCTCCCAGTCGCAAGTGCGGGATCACGTGGCGCTCCTTCTGTCCACATGCACCACTTTTGGCCTGTTGGTAAACAACACCAAGTCCACATTAGTTCCGGTACAATGCATAGAGTTTATCGGGGCAGTCCTGGATGCCTCCTCGGCCAGAGCCTCCCTCACACTGGACAGGTTCAAGATCGTGAAGGGGCTAATCGACATAGTCACAAGGTTTCCGGTGACAACAGCCAGAGCGTGCCTCCAGCTCTTGGACCACATACATGCATGCCAACATGTGACCCGTCACGCCAGACTCAGGATGAGGCCCCTCCAGCTCTGGTTGGCCTCAGAGTTCTCCCAGGCCAGGGACAGGATGGACAAAGTCCTCACGGTGCCCGAGCCAGTGCTCACCTCTCTAGAGTGGTGGTCCTCCCTGAGAAACATGCTCCAAGGAGTCCCGTTCAGAGGCAGGGCCCCGTCGCTGGAACTGGTGTCTGGTGTCTGACGTGTCGGACCTGGGATGGGGGGCCCACATGGGGAACATCCAAACCCAGGATCTATGGTCCGCTCAGGACCTGACCCTCCACATAAATGTCAAGGAGCTCAGGCTGGTACGGCTGGCGTGCATGGCCTTCCGCTCGCACCTCGAGGGCTGGGTGGTCAGGGTTCTCATGGACAACACAGTCTCGATGTTTTACATCAACAGGCAAGGCGGGGCCCGAACATCTGCCATGAAGGCCTCATGCTGTGGGACTTTTGTATAGCCCACAACATCTGCCTACATACCTACCACCTACCTACCCGGAACTTGCGGGCAGATCGCTTGAGCAGGGAATTCTCCTCTCAGCATGAGTCGTCTCCCCACCGAGAGGTGGTGCACAGACTTCCCCACACTTGGAAAACTCCCCAGGTGGACCTGTTAGTGACTCAGCAGAACCGTCCCTGTCCCCGATTCTGCTCTGGGGGGGGGGGAACTGGGAGGGGGTGCTATTACTGATGCCTTCCTCCTGTCATGGTCAGGCCAGTTTCTCTATGCCTTTTCCCCCATTCCTGCTGATCGGCAAGGTCCTGGAAAAGTTAAAGATGGACAAGGCCCGAGTCCTTCTCATTGCCCCAGCATGGCCCAGGCAGCATTGGTATGGGACCTTCATGGGCCTGGAGGTCGCCCCGCCGTGGGCGTTGCCATCCCGCCCGGACCTTTTCTCCTAGGACCAGGGCCGCCTCCTCCACCCCAACCTAGCGGCACTCCACCTCACGGCATGGCTGCTCAATGGTTAGGCCGGGAGGAGAGGACGTGCTCGGAGGGGGTTCAGTGCATTCTCTTGGAAAACAGACAGCCCTCCATGCACCGAGCCTACTTAACAAAGTGGTCTCGGTTTTCCAGATGGACAGATGCGGGGGGCACTTCCCCGGTGGCCGCCCCAATCCAGCTGATTCTGGACTACCTCCTTCATCTTAGAGCCCAGGGCCTGACGCTCTCATCAGTCAAGGTGCACCTGGCAGTCATATCGGCCTTCCCCCACCAGTGCAGGGCCATGCGGTATTCTCCCATGCTATGACTGGCCGATTCCTTAAAGGATTGGATCGTTTCTTCCCATATGTTAGGCCCCCAGTCCCGCAGTGGGACCTGAACCTGGTGTTAGTCCGCCTCATGGGCCCCCTGTTTGAGCCGCTAGCTACGTGCTCCTGGTCTCACCTCTCGTGGAAGGTGGCCTTCCTGGTATTGATCACGTCGGCTAGGCGGGTGTTGGAAGTCAAGGCCCTGACCTCTGAGCCCCTGTACACGGTGTTTCATAAAGATAAGGTCCAGCTCCGCCCACAGCCTTTGTCACAGGTCTCCGCCTATCACATGGGTCAGGACATTTTTCTGCTGGTCCTCTGCCCCAAACCCCATATGTCCAGCGACACATGCTGGATGTGAGATGGGCTCTGGCTTTTTACCTGGAGCCAAATAATCCGTTCAGGAAGTCCTCGCAGCTGTTCATCACCGCGGCCGAGTGCATGAAAGGTCAGCTGACCTCCCAGAACCTGCCCCATCCCAGAGCTTGCACCCAGCACCCAAACTCCATCCCAGAGCCTGTACCCCAGACGCCCTCCCCCACCCAAACCTCCCAGAGCCCAACCTCTCACCCCTTCTGCACCCAAACTCCCTCCCAGAGCCTGCACCCCAATCCTCTACCCCAGACCTCCTCCCCCACCCAAACTTCCTCCTAGAGCCTTAGGGGGTGGAGTTGGGGGGGGGAATGGAGTTTTGGGGCATGACATTATTGGCCCGCTGGGAGGATTTGAGGACTGGCACTGTCCCTAAGGTAAATTGAGTTTGAGACCACTGTCATAGGTTTACAACCAGAGCCTGGAAAGTATCTGGCCTAAACATTAGTATCTAAATACTTAGGCATTTTTTTATTATTATTATCATGTCACATTCAACACTGCTCAGTAGGAAAACATGCTCCCTTTTACAGCTGCTGCTGTTTCGGCCCTCTTTTGTCACTTCTTTTCCCCACCCTCTTTTTTTTTCTCTTCCATTCTTCCCTGTGCATTTATTTCTTTGCAGCAACGTTCAATTCCCACATTGCTGTGGGCTTCCTTGCCACATCTTCCCCATTTCATCTGCTAAAATTATCAGCAATAAAATTAGTTATGTTGACACTGAAATGTTAGATTTATTGCAACCATGAGGCCTAGAAACTCTTTTTAGATGAAAACTGAGGTTCTAGACCATCCGAATGTGTCTAGCATGCAACATGAATAGATCAAGTTGGCTGAATCCATCCCTTAGGCCATAAGTTTGACACCCCCTTGCTAAATATATTATCTTTTAGTTTCACTGAATCTGCCCATTTTTTGTAGTATAGGACAAAGTGAAAAGAAATGTCTTTGGTTTTCAGTATAATTACTCACTAACAACTAGGCAAGTCAAGTATAAGTTCAAAGGGTAAATGGTTGTAGAATGGGACCTCATGTATGAACCCTAGGTACCTATACAGAATTCAGCCAAGCCAATTAATTTTAAATTAACCCAGAAAGCACTGTTATATGCATGGGAGAAATTTGTAATGAACAAAACATAATTAAATCTTTTGTAGATAAGCCTTGTGATTTGCCACTCATAGAAAATGGGAAGATAGCCCAGTATTATTATAGTTTTAAAAGTTATTATTTTCCAATGAGTAAAGAGAAAAAGCTTTCCTACACCTGTGTGGCTGGCTATACAACTGAATCTGGGAGTCAAGATGCAAGGATAACATGCACAGCAACAGGATGGTCACCAGCACCAAAGTGTTATAGTAAGTCAATTTCATTGGACTTTTTTGTTTCCTGTGGACATTGTAATGGATTTCACCAAGAGGGTGTAGTAATGAAACCATAAATTAGGGAAAAATTAGGAATTGGAACTGGATATTGACACTTTACCTCTTTCTCTCTGAAAATTAGTACCAAAACCAGGAATATTGCCTTTTTGTGAAATCAGATAAATTCATGGAGGATAGGTCCATCAGGGGCTCTTAGCTAGGATGGGCAGGGATGGCGTCTCTAGCATCTGTTTGCCAGAAACTGGGAATGGGCAACGGGGATGGATCACTTGGTGATTACCTGTTCTGATTAACCTTCTGAAACACCTGGCATTGGCCACTGTTGGAAGACAGGGTACTGGGCTAGAAGCATCCTTGCTCTGACCCAGTATGGCTGTTCTTATGTTCAGAACATCCCTATTTAGCCTTTGTGTTTTCATTCTTGTTTTTATTCAAGTGGTACTGGATTCCCCTTCCATCCTCCATGCTGAGCAAATGACCAATTTCAGTCAGATTTTAGTTCACTTTGCTTCCCCTCATCTTCAGTAATTTTGCCTCTTACAGGTGGAAACCCTCCCCTTAATACAGAAATTTTCTGGCTCATCAGCAGGGGTTAAACAAAGTAAAAGCTGCACTTTGGCATCAGTAGGAGTTGCCTGCAAGTGACTGGTGGCTGCTTCCTCAGACAGTAATAGCATCCCAGAGGGAATTTAGGGTGTTACCCAGGGTTTTCAAAACTCAAAGCAGTGGTAACTTGACTGTTTCTCTTCGGGCGGTGTCGGGAATAAATCAATGGGGACACAGCTCCTCTGTCTGATAAATGATTGGTACAAACAAGAATGCTTTAACCTAAAACTACCTCTTTATTAGGTTTCACTCGCACACACAAAAGTGCTGTAGCAGTAGGTTCAGAGCATCCCAAACATTTATAGTTACCCAAAGTCTGAGATGGTTTTGAGTAATCAACAACCAGAATTCCGTGTGCCGTCCTTCCATCCAGCTGCTAGGGAGTTTAGGTGCCAGCTTCTTGCACAAAGAAAAGCTTTCTTGGATTGCTCCAAAGTGTATCCTTTTGCCTAATCTTTTATAGCTAACTTAAACAAAGCACATAACTCATAGCGACTTTTAGTGGGTCACCATAGTAACCCCAATGGGTCACCAATTCTCCTAATTTAAGCAACCTACTCATTTATCTCTTAACAAAGCATTCTGTGTATCTCTAGTCATAACAATAAAATTTATATGTAGGGGCACTTAAAACCAAGGTTGACTGTCCAAACATTCCTTCCATTCTCAAGGTACATTAACTCTCTGTCCCACCTTCCCATTCTCATTAGCAGAAACTGCAAACATACAGTTGTTTGGCCTTGCCTCTCAAAGACCTAAGATTATTTCTAGCTATGTGGTATTTGGTTTTCAGCTAGCAGTGGCTGGACATACAAAATGGCTGACTGAAACAATGTCAGGTTCCAGAGTTACACACACTAATATCAAGTTCTGAGGTTATAGAGGAGTGGGGAGAACATCTGTCCCTCTTAAAGTAAATTAAAAAAAAATAGAGGGCACATCTGGCCAGTAAACAGTGAAGTCACCAAAACACTGAACTCTCTCTTGCTCTCCTGGTGTTTTCATCTGCTTATGATCTGATGGTCATCAGTTCCCTTCCTGGGGACCTTTAATTGCTACTGGGAGAGAACTCTCACTATGTCTTTGCAAGTGCTCCTATTTTACCCACTGGGAGAGAGTCTTATAGCTTGAAAGTTGGGTAATTTCACCAACTCTCAGGACTGCCTCCATCACTTCAGGACTGACTGTGTGCACTGCAGCTTCAGTAGTGATCTGGAACAAAATAAAGAGAATAGTTAAGACTGGCAAGAAAGAAGATTGTGTGAACCCCACCACTGTCCAGATTCACCAAACTAGGTGACTTTATTATCTTTCTAATTTCAACATTTAAAATACCTATTTGATATTGGGTTTTTTGTTACTATGTCAGGAGGTTAAGCAGATAGAAAAAAACTTTGAGCTCGTTATCTCCTCACTGTAGGCAAATATAGGAAGCAGACAAATCCCCATGTAAATATATACTAAAGTTATAGAGAAACATAATACTCTGTCAGTTGCCCCGTTCTAATCAGCCTACTTATTTTCATGTAGAAAAATGTAGCAAACCTCTCTTGGAAAATGGCATCTTCTCTGATACAAAAGTGTCCTACAAAATATGGGAACAATTGCTATACAGATGTGCTTCCGGCTATCAAACTCCAGGAGGTAATGCTGATGAAACAGTGCAATGTCTTCCAGAAGGATGGTCTTCTCACCCAAGCTGTGCTAAAAAGTTTGGTATGAATTTACATTCTTCTTTTTTTTGTATCTTTGCTGCTATATGACACTGTTACAGCTAGAGTCTCCCTGTGTTAGGGCAGCTTTTAAACTCACTGGGGCAAATTTTCAGCTGGTTGAAATCAATGGGACAACATCAATTTGCATTAGATGACGATAGTCCCCATTGAGACTACTCATATCACATGTATACCTTTACATGCAGGCTTAACTTTATGCAGGATCATGGGCCAAATGGGTAGATAATTGCTTAAATGATTGAAACCTTACACATTTTCTAATGAGGTTAGGGATAGTATAAATACTGTTTTACATTTAATACTTCTGTGTCTTTCCACTGTTGGGATATTAACTTCAGAAAGGGAGCTACTATACAAACACCATAGCACTGAATGACAGTGGGTGATAATCTCAGTTGACGTCACATTGCCACACTTTTACATTGTATGAATTACATTAGTGAATAATTAAACTTAAATGTGTAGACTGATCTATAGATTATGTATTAATTATATTGATTACTTAAGCATTCCCAGTTATCACTTAGAGAGTTAACAGGTTCTTGTCCCAAGATCAGGTCCAGTATTATTAAAATTACTATGTAACTGGGAACCTTGATGGGCACAGTGGCAACATTCATGCTATAAGAACTCTTCTGTGTTTACAAAATGATGTATTAATACATTCAGGACAGTCACACACACACTGTAACTCAATAAGGTAGATAGAGATAACACAGAAAGTACACCTGAACATCCATACTCACACCATCCCTTGCAGAACAACCTGAAATGTTAGCCATTATCTTCCTCATCACCATCCCCTTCTTCATCTTCACCAGTGGCCATCATTCTTACATCTCTCTCTCCTACTGCCCAAAGGTTGGGATATAACTTTTATAATACGTTACATTGATGCCACTATGTCTAATGCATATTCAGTAGGGGTATTTCCCCTCTTCCTTATTCATATTTTCTCAATCTACTAGTGTTGAGGTGTCCTTTATAGGTTAGTATATTAATGATTTCAACTCATTATCATATACGTTAATTCGTTGCCATCGCACTCTTGTGGTTGGATGTTCCTTCCAAAATATTCCAAAAGCTGGTGTTAGCTCATGCTTCTATGGTTGGCTGATGTCATTATGGACAAAATTCCCCTTTACACTCTTCCAGTTCCCCAAAACTTTGGGGTTACCTTTGGGCCATTTATCTATGCCAAAGTTCATAGCCCTCAAGCCGCATGCTAACTGCAGAAGCCAATGTCTTACAGGATACAAGCCTGTAGGTTCCTTGCATTCTTACTGAATATAATAACGGCAAGGCAGTGAATATAGTAAAGGCAAGCTATCCCTATGGGCTACAAATGTTGGCAGTTAAGTACATTTCCATTTTAAAAGTATAAAATGTGGTAGAATTGCATTGATTTTCATCTTCTGCACGTCCATGCAGACTTTTTTAAATTAAATTAAATTAAATTAAATTAATGGAGATATCCCATCTCCTAGAACTGGAAGGGACCTTGAAAGGTCATCAAGTCCAGCCCCCTGCCTTCACTAGCAGGACCAAGTACTGATTTTGCCCCAGATCCCCAAGTGGCCCCCTCAAGGATTGAACTCACAACCCTGGGTTTAGCAGGCCAATGCTCAAACCACTGAGCTATCCCTCCCCCCCCACTTTGGCTCACTGTGTCAAATATAAAAACTTCTGGAGTGTGGCCACCCCTTGCTTTCCTGTGGCTTGTAAGATAGTCCTATTGCAAAATACAACAAAGTATAATTACAAGTATTACACACTAAAAACTAGAGCTGGCTGAACAATATTTAGTGAGTAGTACATTTTGTTCATTATGGGTCAATTTTTCTTTGGAGATCAATCTATTTCCAATTCAGAAACACTCACTGAATGGTAAAAATACAGAGAAGCACTACAGTTATTTGTAAGGTATATCTATGGAGTCGTATTCGTAGTTCAAAATATATTTTTCTCTGGTCCCTGGCTGGTTACTCTACCCTAGAGAAACAGCAGGCATGCCTGAAGAGAACTCTTTAGGCCTTGATTCTCTCTGGTAAAGGGTGGACTCAGAAGGGAAGGTTCCATTTCTCTTGCTATTTCCATTTTGAAGAGTGCAGGATTTTTATGACCACCCTACTACTAGTACACCTCTACCCTGATATAATGTGAGCCGATATAACACGAATTCGGATATAACGCGGTAAAGCAGCGCTCGGGGTGGGGGGTGGGGCTGCGCACTGCAGTGGTTAAAAGCAAGTTCGATATAACATGGTTTCACCTATAATGTAGTAAGATTTTTTGGCTCCCAAGGACAGCGTTCTATCAGGGTAGAAGTGTATAATCTAAATCCTGTTGTCACACGTGGTACACTTACTACTGTGTGTGAATGTTGGTTTATGTCTGTGAGCTGCAGTTAAAATCTCTGCCTGTTAGGCAGGGTGCTATAGGAAGAAGCTAACTGGTAAAAGCTCCTACGCTTACCCACACAACAGTGAGAGACTGTGTAAGTATATATAAAGTTGGGAAGCTGCAGAGTCAGAACTACTGAAACAAACATGTTTGTGTCTGAATATACTTATTTGAATCAGTGTAGTCAAACATGGCTGTGCATCTGGTGCAAATTAATCCATTTCCCTCCAAACTTTGTTAAATGTATATCAGAGGACTTGAATAACTGCCCCGGCTATTTACAAATTAATTGCAAAGCTTTGTGTCAGATTTGAACAGTCTACTAAAAGCATGAGACTTTAATGAGGATATAGCGAGAAAAATCCTATGTCGTATCTTGAAATGAAATAAGCCCCCAAATTCATGTACTTTTTTTTTTTAAGAGAGCTGCTTAGTACCAGACTTACATCACGGCCACTACTCCACAACCCAGCGGATCCTCAAACTGAATGAAACACTGATGTATGAATGTGATGAGGGATACCACACCAGAGGAGGAAACACTATTGAAAAGGCAGTCTGTCGTACATATGGATGGTCCCTTACTCCGAACTGCACTAGTATGTTGTTGTCTTTATGTAACCCTTCTGCCCATCAGAGTTGGCAGCAACAAGAATCTAGGGGTTTTGTGTCAATAACACAAGGCAAAACTGACTCGAGCCCCCACCCAGTGACCTGGGACAATGACATACAACCCCTTGGGTGCCTCTAAGAGGCAATACTTCCCCTCTAGCAAGCATAAAGTCTGAGTGTAGCAACAGCCTTTTAATAAAAGAGGGAAACAATGCGGCATTATGTTGGGGAAACACCACTAACAGGATTCATAACACAAACCATAAGCAAAAGACCCACCCCCAAGTAAGTTTGGCAGTGTCCTTTTACCCTCAGGGTCTTAAGTCCAGCAACTCAACAGTCACCCCAGCCACAGTTTCTGACCTTGGTCAGTGCAGCCCCCAGAGTTCAGAAGTTCATCTGCAGAGTTTACCTCCCAGCCTGGGAGGAAGTGGGGGGGGGCAGTATGGGGGCATCTTACATGCTCCACTGCTCGGGTTGATGGCTGATTGCCACACCTTTCCGTGGGGTTCTGCTGCAGTCTTCACCACCAGCTGCGCCTCTCCACTAGCCATCCTGCTAGCCGCTCACTAACTTGTCTTCAGCCCCTCCCTACTTAACACAGCTCTCAGTGATTTCAGCTGTTAGTAGGGGGTGCCTCAGTGCTGGCACACTCAGAACCACTAGCCCAAAGTAGGGCTAATGCTTAGACCTAGGAATCCGTGATTTCATCTCTGCAGCACCTAACAAGACTCCTAACTGAGTCAAAATTATCTCTATTATTACACCATGGAGAGAGGAAGAGAGTCAAGGTGGTGTTTGGGGCCCACACTACCAAGCAAACATACCTGTCCCCAGCCTCTCTCAATTCACTGGGGTTTGGAACCCATGTCCCTTGCCTAGCGAGTGCTGCTTGGTTGAGGGTGAATCCCTCCGTCATAAAATGCCAAGTACAGTTCTACTGTCCTTGATTCACTTTATTACTCCTGTCTCAATAACAAAGAGACTGGGGATCCCACAACAGCCAAAGTGACCATTTGGGCAAGCAGTCTATCATGCTAGGCAGGGTGGGTGTGCCCATGCAATCGAGATCAGCCCCTGAAGTCCTTTTCCACAGCTCACCACCAGATGTCAGGGTAGAGCTCATTCTGACTCTACTTACATCTAGAATAACTTAACCTGAATCTTCCGAAGTCTGGTATTCTTTAACCCCATAGCCTTTGTTTCTTTTATGTGAGAAAAGCTTCCGCACATTTAATGGATTTATTCTGATAGAGTTGTTTTAAATCTGTTTTACCCAGTGTGTGTTTTTCTTTTCTAGAAGTAACATGCTTCTTGTTAAGTGAGATAGAACATGGGAATTTCTATCCCAGGAAGAAAAGCTATGAGGAAGGAGATGTGGTTCAGTTTTTGTGTCAGAAAAATTACTCTTTGAATGGATCTGATTTAATTCAGTGTTATGACTTTGGATGGTATCCAGAGCCTCCAATATGTGAAGGTAACTCTCTTCGTGTATCTCTTCCTGCCCCTATACCACCCTTATTATTACATTTAAAAATATACATTAAAATAACACTGAAGTTTCGAAGTGAAGCCCTCAAAAGTTAGGAAATGTCAGAATTAAGGCTGCCTGTGCAACCTTAATTCAGCCTCCTTATCCATATGCATCAATAGTCTTTAACTACATGATCACATACTATTCCACCCTCCACCACCAAGCTCCAGCCCCTGTATCTGCCTCCTTCCCTTTCCCCCTCAGCTCCCCCTCCCAGTTCTTTATCCCTCTGCATTTGAATCAGGCTGCACTCTGCCTGGGTGTCAGCAGAAGGAGCCATGAAAGAACAGAAAGAATCTCTTCCTCCTCTTGGTTTCTGTAAGCCATAGTGGCCTGCAGCAGCTGGGAGCAGCAATTTCAAGGAAAGTCCTGCTCAGCCCTTGCAGCCGAGGATGGAGCATGCTTAGTTACTGTGTGGGAATGTCACATGCAGTAGGCTATGTGAGAGGACGGAGCATGCTCAGTGCAGATATAATCTTTAGAAAATTTGCTGCCTAATTCTAAACTTACTACTTACTGTGTACTAACTGCAATTTTCAGAGACTGACACATTTTCAGAGAGATGGCAAAAATTTCATCACTTACCTCAGTGTTTCCCACAGCCAAATGTAAAGTTCTTTCTCCAAAAAGTGGAGGCTCTGGAGGTTATCAATAAAAGAGTTGTAAAAATAAAATTTTATAATGGTCAAAACAACATATTTTCCTCCTAGTCTTGTTGTGGAAAACTGCTGCACCATTTAGCTGAATCGTTTAATAACAACAACAACACCACAAAAGTCAGCTTGAGGCAGACACCCAAGATAGGAAACTTCACCCTTAATGGTTAAAATTTGACTGTTTTATAAGCAATTGGAAAACAGCATCTTCTAATGGAAAGGGTCAGGCAACCTTTATTATAAGAATTGTTACATGCACCATCTGTAGTACAAGTGTGACAACTTAATGTGTCAGGGTTTGACCAATACATAATAATAGCAATGTGACTTTTTTATGTAACTGTAAACACTTCTCATGACTGTCTCATAATTCTGAAACCTGAAAGTATGTTTTTGGTTAAATGCCATATTATCTATCAGAGGAAAATCCTTGTCCCATTGAAATCAAGGGCAAAACTCTCATTGACTCCAGTGGGATCAGGATCTTTTCCTTAGCATTTTATATTCACAACATACAATCATTTGCAGCTGGGGCAAATCATAGAGTTTATCACTGATGTCAGTGAGAGCAGTTTCAGGCCCCTGATTGATTTCTTAGCTAGCTCAGTTGATTCAAGGGGATCAAATGTGGAAAACATCAACACAAAGGCAAAAAATAGGTCTAATTTTGGAGTGTAAGTTACAACTGAAAAGAAATAAGTAATGGTCAGAACATGGTGCACCCGAATTGCTTGATTTGAATGCACATCAGAAGTGGGCATGGCCTTCCATGAAGAAATTAAGTTCCTGCAACTCTCTCTCTTTCTCTCTCTCTCTCTCTGTCTGTTCCTTTTCAAAAGCAGAATAAACTTGAGGCAAATTGAACATGCTTACGGCAGCTTTAACTTGAACTTTTTGTTACTGCACATGTGGGTTCATGGCAGATATTAGTGCTGCTGTGGGAGACTCTGGGAAACTGTGGGTTGTGCCAGAGACTTATTGCTATTGATTCATTTTTCATCCTGAAATTATGAAACCAACATCTATATGGTGGGATCTGCACACATCAGGATGCATATTGTTTTTTGCTCAGTTATATGTAATAATGTGGATACTTCTCTCCATTATAGATTTGTCTCTGAATGGGGCAGATGCATGTCTGTGTATGATCCCTGTTCATTCTATGATGTCGCAGATGTTTTTATTATTTTGAATGTAACCATACTCTATTTTTCCAACAACCACCTCAGTGAGGTGATCCCCTTCCAGAGTTGACAGGCATGCAGAGAGCATATATATGGCATTATTGGGTATGCTACCCAGTAGCAGCGTTTGTACAAATTTACATTTCAGTCAGCTAATTTCTTTTACAACACCAATAGACTTTTGCTTATGGGTTTCCATAGATTCCAAGGCCAGAAGGGACCATTGTGACCATCTAGTCTGACCTCCTGTTTAACACAGGCTATAGAACTTGCCCAAAATAACTCCTAGAGCATATTGTTTAGGGGGAAAAAATCCAATATTGATTTACAAATTGTCAGTGACGGAAAATCCACTGCAACAACTGGTAAATTGTTCCAGTGGTTAATTACTCTCACTGTCAAAAATGTACGTCTTATTTCCAATCTGAATTTATCTAGCTTCATGTTATACCTTTCTATGCTTGATTATAGAACCCATTATTAATTTTTTTTCACCAGGTAGATACTTATAGACTGTTATCAAGTCACCCCTTAACCTTCTCTTTGATAATCTAAATAGATTGATCTCTCTGAGTCTATCACTATAAAGCATATTTTTAATCGTTCTCATGGCTCTTCTTTGGACCCTCTCCAATTCATCAACATCCTTCTTGAATTGTGGGCATCGCAACTGGACACAGTATTGCAGCAGCAGTCGCACCAGTGCCAAATACAGAGCTGTAAAATAACATCTTTACTCCTATTTGAGAGTCCCCTGTTTATGCATCCCAAGATCGCGTTAGCTCTTTTGGCCACAGCATCACACTATGACTCCCAAACCTTTTTCAGAGTCACTGCTTCCCCAGATAGAGTCCTCTATCCTGTAAGTGTGACCTACATTCTTTGTTCTTAAATGTATACATTTACATTCAGCTGTATTAAAATGCATATTGTTTTGTGTCGTTTACCAAGCGATCCAGATCTCTCTGAATCAGTGACTGGTCCTCTTCATTACCTACCACTCCCCCAATTTGTGTCCGCTTCAAACTTTATCTGTGATTATTTTGTTTTCTTCCAGGTCATTGATAAAAATATTAAATGCTATAGAGCCAAGAACTGATTACTGTAGCATCCCACTGGAAACGCACTTACTCAGTGATAACTCCCTGTTTACAATTATGTTTTGAGACCTATCAGTTAGCCAATCTTTAATCCATTTAATGGGTGCCATGTTAATTTTATATCATCCTAGTTTTTAATCAAAATGTGTGGTACCAAGTCAAACACCTTACAGAAGGCTAAATGTATATTGCGTCAACACTATTATCTTTGTTGACCAAACCTGTAATCTCATTTAAAAAAAAATCTAGTTAGTTTGACAGGATCTGTTTTCCATAAATCCATGTTGATTTGCGTTAATTACATTATCTTCCTTTAATTCTTGATTAATCAAGTACTGTATCAGCCTCTCCATTTTCTTTCCCAGGATCGATGTAAGGCTGACAATTGTCTAATTACCCAGGTCTCCCCGTTTACCCTTTGAAAAAATTGGCACAAGATTAGCTTTCTTCCAGTTATGTGATATGCTCTGTAGTAGTGTATACTTGAGGTGTCGGGTTCTGGGTCACAGTTTACAATTCCAGCTCATCATTTTTATTAGGGCTGTCAATCGCAATTAATGCCTGCGATTGAGTAAAAAGAAAATTAATGTGTTAATCGCTTACCTCTGGGCTTGGGGGGAGGTATTGGCGGCAGCCCCAGGGTGTAGCTTTGCAGGTGGCTGAAGGCCGGAGCCCTGTGTCTCCAGGGCGGCTGAAGCCCAGAGCCCCCAGCATCAAGCCTATATTTGAAAATATAGAAAACCTCCAAAAATATTCAAATAAATGGTGTTCTATCATTGTTTAACAGTGGGATTAAAACTGCAATTAATTGCAATTTATTTTTTTAATTACTTGACAGCTCTAATTTTTGTTGGTTTAAGCCCAATTTGTAACATTCCTTTTATCATACATTTTTGTAATGATTTCTTACCCTCAGTGTTGTCTAACTTTACTTTCATAAACATTCTTGTATTCTTATTACTAATAGATAAAATGCTTTAACTGAAACTGTCAGATTGAACTTCTGAACTGGTTCACATTCACAACTGATATTTACAGAACAGTCTAATGCAGCTGAAGGCTAAAGTACCTGTGCCTATGGGATGTTGATTTTTTTAAATCTAGGACATGGTCTGAATAAGCAGTATGTGTTTCAAGATTAAGTTCAATACTTTTTAAAATTGACTGTGACCTTTACCTGTGGACTCCAAATTTTAGTTTTCAGTGGAAAGAGAAAATTGCATCCAATTTTTAAACGGCATTGGGGTGAGAACTTCATTGCAATTATCAGTAAACTGGATTGTTAAAATCACTGGGTCAAATCCAATCTCTTTTAAACTCTATTGAATTATGTGGTTGACTGAGTCTGTGGGTTTGATTAATGTCCCTTTTCTGTGGCTACAGTAGAGTGACAATACCTGGGGAACCCCTAGAAAGTAGAGGGGGAAGCATAGTGGGACTCTGTAGTCCTTTGTTCATCATGGACCTAAGCTCAGCAGGGGAGGTTTGGTGAACAGTTCAGAAAAGTGAACATGACCACTGTGTCCATCTACTACAATGATCACTAGCAACCCTCCCCCTCCTCACCCTGATCAACAAAAACAAAAATCATTTTGGGGTGGATACCACAGGCTATGGCTGCTTGCAGGACGAGAAGCTGTGGACAAGATGCACTGATGCCCTGTATCTGGATTGTAGAGGAGGATTTCCTTAACCTGTCTGTAAAGGCTTTTTTACTAAGGATTTATATTGAGAGTGTCAAGCTATGAAAATAGCACCATCTCCCCAAAAACGTCTGTTATAGTGCTGGTTAAGCGTGTCAGGTCCGACTGTGGTGAACTAGACTCTTGAGGTAAAAATCGGAACAAAATGTGTCACCCAGAGCTCTCCAGGTTCTGCTTCTATTGTTTCTTCACCACGTTTGTTTCCCTGGCATGGATGTGCATGTGTGTGTAAACCTTAAGAAACCAGTTTGCTTTTCTGATAGAGATGATCTGATTAAAGCCTCCACCACATGTCCAAATACGTGTTTTCTTTCTAGATAGAAGAAATAAATGCCCTCCTCCACCTCAGCCTCCCAATGCCAATATACTCACAGATTTAAGAACATATCATAATGGAGCCAAAGTACATTTGGCATGTCAGCTTAATTTTACAATGAGAGGATCAGAAGAAATCCAGTGTGAGAATGGAAAATGGACTTCACCCCCAAGTTGCATTGGTTAGTAGTTGCTTTACAAATGTTTGGAGCTGAAGTAAAACCCCAGTTCAAAACATGTCTTAATCTTCATGTCTGTGTCTCAGTTTCCCCATCTTTAAAATTGGGGTGATGATATTTACCTCCCTTGTAAAGTGCTTTGATGCCTATGCGTGAGAAGTGTTATGTAAGAACTAGGTATTGATAATTTTGGGACAGGATGAGGGAAGAGCCAGGATCTGAAGATGGATTTAAATCTGAATCCAAATTTTATGTCTGATCCCCACTGCTCCCAAATGCTCCACCAGATCCCTGATTTATTAGCCAGCTGGACAGTCTATAAGGCCAATCTTTTTTTTTCTTGGGCATTTGGATGTGGTGTCTGGTGGGAAGGAAATAGTTTGTAAATATGAATAATTTGAGAGAGATGTTTCCAATTTTTTTGCTGTAGTTTTAGAAGCCAAAGAAAAAATATCATGTGATCAGCCACCTCCTATTGAGAAGGGTACAGCAATAACTGAGGAAAAGATGTATTACACAGGAGACACTATTAGATACAGTTGTGATCATGGCTACAGGATAAATGGATCAAGTGTAATAACCTGTAAAATGGGAAAATGGACATCACCTCCTAAATGTATTGGTAAGTATTCTGCTTGCAGTATTATAATTCCTCATCCTTGGGAGGTGCTCTGATACTACGGAGATTGTTGATAGAACAACCTGGATGGATAGATTAATGGTCATTATTACTTGTCATTAATCACATATTGTATACTGTATTTGCAGTTATATTTCAGTTAATTACTGGTGCTGGCACATGTATTTAAATATTTTATAACTGTTTTCTTGTCCATGCTGCTTAAATATTTTGAAATATTCAAACTATGAGGCTTCATGAGTTGCTTTTTTGCTTAATGGCTTCTATGATATCATAGACTCATAGAAATGTAGGACTGGAAGGGACCTCAATAGGTCATCTAGTCCAGTCCCCTGTACTAAGTACAGTCTAAACTTTCAGTGACTGAGATTGCACAACCTCCATAGGTAATTTGTTCCATTGCTTACAGTTCCTTACAGTTAGGATGTTTTTTCATAATGTCTAACCTAAATATCTCTTGCTGCAATTTAAGACCATTATTACTTGGCCTGTCCTCAGTAGTTAAGGAGAACAGTTCATCACCCTCATCTTTATAACAATGTTTTTTAGGTACTTGAAGACTGTTATCAGGTGCCCCCTCAATCTTCTCTTCTCCAGACTAAACAAACCCAATATTTTCAATCTTTCCTCATAGGTCATGTTTTCTAGACCTTTAACCTTTTTGTTGCTCTTCTCTGGACATTCTTCAATTTGTTCATCTCTTTGCTGAAGTGTCCTGCTCAGAACTGGACATGGTATTCCAATTGAGGTCTTATCAGTGCTGAGTAGAGTGGAAGAATTGTTTCCCATGTCCTGCTTACCACACTCCTGCTAATATACCCCAGAATGATGTTGCTTTATTTGAAACAGTATTACAGTGTTGACTCATAATTAGTTTGTGATCTACTATAACCCCCAGATCATTTGTATTTGTACAATTGATTATTCCTTCCTAAGTGTATACTTTGCATTTGTCCTTATTGAATTTCATTCGATTTATTTAAAATCATTTCTCCAGTTTTCAAGTTCATTTTGAATTCTAATCCTGCCCTCCAAAGGGCTTGCAACCCCTTCCAGATTGGTATCATCCACAAACTTTATAAGTGTATTCTCTATGTCATTATCCAAATTATTTATGTGGGAAATAAATAGAACTGGACCTTACTCGATACGCCCTTCCAAGTTGATTGTGAACTATTGATAACTACTCTATCCTGGGAACTTGTGAACTCCTACCCACCTCCAACAGATATAGCTTGGAATCACCTACTGTGGAATACACATGAGCAATCACTCGAAGAAGAAAAGACAGTTACCTTTTCCGTAACTGGTGTTCTTCAAGATGTGTTACTCATATCTATTCCACATCCCGCCCTCCTTCCCTTCTGTCGGAGTTGTTTGGCAAGAAGGAACTGAGGGTGGGGGGAGCGTGCAGCTCCCCTTATACCGCGCTAGGCAGACGCCACTCCAGGGGTTGTGGGGCCCTCCCCCCCTACGGGTACTGCTAGGGGAAAACTTCCGGCACCGGTGCAAGCATGCAAACCTACTGTGGAATAGACATGAGCAACACAACTTGAAGAACACCAATTATGGAAAAGGTAACTGTCTTTTCCTTCTTACTGCCTGTGATGGTTGTTGGATCTGTGGTGGCTTGCTTAGCAAGTTCTCCTTGTTTTCCCTAACCGTCTTCCAGAGATGGGGAACTCCTCACATCGATCTCTTCACTACTCAAAGCAACAGAAAGTGCCAGTGGTTCTGCTTCTTCCAGAACCACAGCCAAGGCTCCATTGCGGACGCTTTCCTCCTGTCACGATCAGACCATCTGCTGTACTTGTTCCCATTTCTGCTCGTACACAAAGTCCTGCTCAAGATCTGCAGGGACAAGGCGGTGGTCATAGCAGTAGAGCCACTGTGGCCACGCCAGCACTGGTACACCACACTCATGGAGCTGTCGATGGATGCTCTAGTCACATTGCCGCTGTTCCCAGACCTGATCACCCAGGACCACCGATGCCGTCGTCACCCAAACCTCCAGTCTCTCAACCTCATGGCCTGGAAGCTTCATGGCTAAACCTCATGGAGCTCATGTGCTCACAGCCAGTCAGGGAAGTTCTGCTCAGTAGCAGGACGCCCTCTACTAGGCCACCTATCTGGCAAAGTGGAAGAGGTTTGCGATCTGGTGCTCTCAGGGCTGCACTTCACTGTTGCAGGTCCCCATCAAGGGCCTAGAGCATCTATACCCACACGTTCGGCAGCTGATCCCTACATGGAACCTCAACCTGGCTCCTTTGAAACTGATGGGACCTCCCTTTGAACCGTTGGCAAATTGCTTACTCCTGTATCTTTCATGGAAGGTCACCTTTCTAATTGCCATTACTTCGGCAAGGAGAGTCTTGGAGCTCAAGGCCCTCACTTATGACCCTCCATACACAGTCTTCTTCAAAGGCAAGGTGCAGCTCAGAACTCACTCGGCTTTCCTTCCAAAGGTCATGTCCCAGTTTCACTCCAACCAGGACATTTTCCTGCCTGTATTTATCCCAAACCTCATGCGACCAGCCAGGAGCAGATGCTCCACTCTCTGAACGTTTGACAGGTGCTTGCCTTTTATATCGAATTCACGAGGCTGTTCCAAAAGTTGAACCAGCTATTTGTGGTGGTGGCAGACTGTATGAAAGGTCTCCTGGTCTCATTGTAGAGGATCTCACCGTGGATTATCTCCTGCATCCCTATCTGCTATGAATTAGCCAACATTCCGGCCCCGGCTCTCAAGGCTCACTCCACAAGAGCACAGGCCTCATCGACGGCATTCCTGGCCCAGGTGCTGATTCAAGAGATCTTCAGGGCAATGATGTTGTCCTCAGCACACACTTTTGCCGCTCACTACGCCATCACCCAGTATGCTAGTGATGATGAAACCTTCGGCAGAGCAGTGCTCTAGTCTGTCGTACCATAGCTCTGACCCCACCGCATAGGTAGGGCTTGGGAGTCACCTAACTGGAATTGATATGAGCAAGCACTCAATGAAGAAAAAATGGTTACTCACCTTCTCATAACTGTTCTTCGAGATGTGTTGCTCATATCCTTTCCAGACCCGCCTGCCCGCCTTCCCCTCTGTCGCAGTAACCGACAAGAAGGAACTGAGGCAGGGTCATATATTGAGCACCTTGCTCGTGGTACAAATCAGCCGGAGACCTCTTACTTTGCGAAACCCAGTGTTTGTTCGTTCCCACCACCATCTATATACAACTCTGTACAATTCAATAGGAGTTAGGTAGTCACCCGTTCCTGTTGCTAGCTAGCTCCTCACTCCTTACTCCTCCTGTTCTACCCCTCTCCCTTCCTTCCTGCCAGCTTTATAGGCCTTCTTCCCACCAGGCTCACAGGTGATTACTCTTAGTCTCCTTTAATGAGCCACACCCTGCCAGCTCCCCTTGATGGGAGCTGCGCTAGCAGGTTCTGAGCTAACAGGGGCTGGTTCAGTGCCTCTCAGGCCAGCACCCTGTTACAGTCATCAAGGCGCCACTCCAGGGGGCTCCACAGCTGACCTGACGGGTGCTGTTAGGGGAAAAACTTTGACAACTGTGCACGCTGTGCACACACACCTAACTGGAATGGATATGAGCAACAGTTACAAGAAAGTGAGTAACTGCTTTTTCATAGTTTGACCTAGTTTCCACTTCTTATATCACTCTTGAATTTTAGGTCTTGACAATATCTTGGTTAAGTCAGGGTGGTCTCTTACCATACTTCCTACCTTTCCTATGCTTTTGTGCCCTTAATAATGTTTCTTTTAAAAAACTGCCAACTCTCCTGATCTGTTTTCACTTAGACTTGCTTCCCACAGCATCTTATCTACCAATTCTCTGTTTGCTAAAGCCTTTTTGTCTTTATTCTGCTGTTTCCCTCCTACCGTTTCTTAGAATCATGAACTTTAATAGTTTCATGATAGAGTTCATATCTTTTCATCTCTTTATTTTTTCAAGCAGCCAGAAATGTGATAAGCACCTCAGAAAACAAGTAAAGACAGTCCCGTCCCAGACAAACATACAATCTAAATTCAGCATGACCCAAGAAGTGAGAGTCAAAAACAAAGAGGATTTGGATGGGGGAATGGTACAGGTAGGATAAGTATGGCAATGAGATTGCATGGTGACTCAGTAAGGCATTTACATGTGTTGGTGCTTCTGTTCCTTTTTGTAACCCTTTAAAAAGAAAGAAAGAGAAAGAAAGAAAGAAAGAAAGAAAGAAAGAAAGAAATAGCAGCTAAATTGTTGGAAGAAGTTGCAATTTTGTTTGTTACCCCAATTTACATTTATTCTGTAGTTTTAATTTCCTTCTCAGAAATCTAGTTACATTGATTCTGGTACTATCATTTGAGAGAATTGTTGTGTACAGATACAGATTATAGCTACGGTTCTTCTCTTAGAAACACGGGAAACCTGCCCCTCTCCACCTGCAATTAAAAGTGGTGCTAGTTTTGGACCATTATTGACAAACTACACAACAGGTTCCTCAGTAAAATACAGATGCCATCGGTACCACATATTGGAGGGTCCTGAAACTGTTCATTGTGTACAAGGAAAGTGGACAGCTCAGCCAACTTGTTTAGGTAAGTCTTGGTGAAAAACTAGATGTATTATTATATTATTCATGATTGATAAGACCCTGGGAAAAAAACAACCCATATAGCTCTATGGGAAATGCTGTGGTCTCAGTTAAATTCCAGGTGGATAATGCCTGCATCACACAAACTGCTACCACTATGATATCTTTCTTTGTAGACTTGCTGAGACAAGTACTTGATGGCTGAAAGAATGAATCCTTCTCTCGCCTCTTGAATTTTTGCCTAGTGGTCAGTTTTGAGGCATAGTGGTGGGGCAGTTTGCATGGTCATTTCCCAGGCTGTAGCTTTTCTCTGGATAATCAGAGACTTTATTCTCCTGTGCTGTTTCTCAACACCTTTCATGAGAACTAAATTTGCAGGAAAAAATTAGTATACATACAGAGAGGGTAATAATGGTAGAGCAGATCCTTAGTAGTAACCAGTTTTTCTTTAAAATGTCATTATTAGAATACTCTTATAGTAAAGCACAAACAGACAGGGTGCTGGAACAATTTGAATAGTGGGGGTGCTGAGAACCATTGAACCAAACTGTAAACCCTGTATATAATGGAAACCACTTCAAGTCAGGGGGTACTGCAACACCCCACGCATCCCTAGTTCCAGCACCTATGCAAATAGAAGACCAATACAATTATATTTACTTATTTAATGTAATAAAATGTGCATATCTATCACTTTAAAAACAACCAAAATAAAACTGACCTAAAGTAACAACAATTTAACTCAAAAGAAAACCAAGAAAAAGCAAACCAAACAATTAAAAAATACTACCATCTCAAATCAATTCCTCAGTCAGACATCTAAGTAAAAAAGTTAAATTTGCCATGTGTTGGCTATCCTTGTCCTGGAATGGCTGACAAAATCTAGCATCTGTAGTACTGCTGTCAGTTCCAGTAGATGGCTCTTTTCCTCTTAAAAAGATTTTCCCAGTTATGGTAACTAAGTAGGATTAATGTTCTTATCTCTGTCAACAGCAGAAGTGAGTTATTTACATCAGTAAACACAGCCTGAGGTACCACATGCATCATTGGTACTGATTAGCTTGATTTCCAGGAATTACAGGAATTAGCCTGATTTCCTGTAAAGTTTGTGTCAAAAGGAGTTTGTCCCCTGTGATGGGGCAGTTTACATTCCCCAACTTACCTTTAGTTTTACCTATTATAATTGTGATTTATGGTGAGTAAAGCTCTAAAGAAGTTGTAGCATTTCATATAAAGTTCAAATCAGTTTGCAGGATCATTGAATTATAAACCTTTTTTGGCTAAGAACTTTTAAATGTGGGAATTGTTACGAAATATTTGTATAAACATAGATGTTTGTCTTCTAGAACCATGCACTCTTAATGTGGATGATGTGAGCAATAACAACATAGAGATGAAATGGAGACTGGAAGGAGAGTTATTTTTCCTGCATGGTGAAACGATAGATTTTGTATGTAAACAGGGATACTATTTGTCATCCTCCAGCAGGCAGTCTCAGCTAACAGTACAGTGTACCCGTGGAAAAATCATATATCCAACATGCATTATGGAAGGTAAAACAATAGCTGTTTTTGCAATCCTCTTATAACTCACCAAGGTCAGACACACTGAGATAGCTTTGCTTGAAAAGTAAAGGCATAGACTCTGCTATTAATAGCAATAGAAGTTTGAGGTTAAATTGTCCTTTCCATAGCGAAGATGTATTTTAAAATTATACGAACACAGCAGAATAAAACATTTTCCTTGTGGGGAGGGGGAGAGGGTACCTGCAGAAGGGGGATGAGACTTTCTAAACACTTGTAGCCCAAGGATTTGCTGGGAATCCCAGCTCCAGAATTTAAGTGCATACAAAGTAAGAAGTTCTTGTAGATGAATTTAAATGGGTGCCAGATTTTGCTCTTAGACACACTGTACGTCTTTGTTAAAGTTTTTGACACTAATTTATTTTATGTAGATCCCAAAGAAAAATGTGGCTCCCCCCCTATTATTAAGAATGGAGATGTTATTGACCCACGGCTGACAGAATATGAGAGTGATTCTTCAGTTGAATATACTTGTTTTGATCATCATTTTTTGCAAGGGTCCAATAGAGTCTATTGTTCCAACGGACAATGGACTACCCCACCAGATTGCATAGGTATGTAAGATGTACTTTTGTTTAAAAAAAAATGACTAGCTCAATAAAAGTTGATTCAACTTTTGTTTCAGGTTTTTAATATTAATTTCCATTATTCAAATTAAGTTCTCAATCTGAGCAATTTTGGTAGATCTGGAGCCTCTGGACTTCGGTACATCTGGGCAAATCTGCAGTTCTTTTTATCCTGTTTTCCTAAGCCTATAAGAATTGGAATATGTATGCAACATTCAGAAGTACTATCATCTGATGTTTAGAAGGGAGTAGAAAGGAGGAAGGTGTTTGTATCTAATTTTAATATACTAGCTATAGCCAAATAATGCAGTTTCATATATTAATATTAACCTGTATATTAAGTTTTATAAAGGAGATTAACTATGTATCTTTTTTGTGTTAAGAACCATGCATTTTATCGAAGGACGTAATGGACAAAAATAACTTAATACTGAGATGGAGTTTTGATGACAAATCTTATTCTTTCCATGGGGAATACATTGAATTTCTATGTAAAGAGAATCATTATGGAGCACCATCAACTTCAGTGTTTGATTTTAGAATACAGTGTAGCAGAGGACAGCTGACATATCCGAGATGTGTTGAGAGAGGAAGGTAAGGCTAAGGCAGTATTTAATTTGAAATTTGTACATGCATATGTATAACATTTTAATTTCCATGTATGGGCTACCATTTCCAAGATGATTAACCAGCACTAACATTGATTCTCAACCAAACTATAGTTCTGATATATTTCCATGTGGCTAATATATTTATGTGCATTTCATATATGGCTTCTATGAGTCATGTAGTTCTGTGGTTGGTCCTTTTTTGGGGGTTGGTGAGGGAGCAATAGAAGTAGTTGTTGTAGAATCTCTGAAAATAATTAAATGTCTTCCTGTGTGAAGTGAGTTGAAACTGTTTGGTCTAGTGGTTAGAACCAAAGGCCTGAACCAGAAAGATGTTAACTGTAGTTTTCTGATGGCTGAATCAAAAGTATTCTATGGCAGGAGTACATATACTAGATGAGTGGCACCGGTCTGGCTTGAAATTTGTGGTGAAATTATAAAATCACAGTCGCCATTGGAACCCGCAGGGATCAAACAAAGGAGAAGTTCTTTTTTGAATGATTGCTCATGTGCATTCCACAATTGGTGTGCGTGCTCCCCACGTGCACCAGTGCTGGAAGTTTTTCCCCTAGCAGTACCCCTATGGGAGCACCACTAGTGACCCCTGGAGTGGTGCCTCTATGGCGCGGTATAAGGGGTGCTGCCTGCTCCCCCTACCCTCAGTTCCTTCTTGCCGCCAGTGAAGGTGCATCGGAACTGCTCTGCTCCAGCTTGTCTGCAGTTTTCCTCTTGAACTCTTGTTCATTCATAGTTAGTAGTTCCTGTAGTTAAAGTAGTTTAGACTAGTGTTAGTTTAGTTTAGTGCACCCAGGTTGGGGCATGCCCCATGCCCTGGGCTTTAAGTTGTGCGATACTTGCAGGCGACCAATGCCAGTGAGTGATCCGCATACAGACTGTTTATGCTGTCTGGGGGAAACCCATCTCAGCGATCGCTGCAAGATTTGGAAATCCTTCAAGCCTTGGACCAAGAAGGAAAGGGATATTTGGCTCCGAGCCATTCTGATGGAATCGACGTTGACCCCGACTCCGGTGCGCGCTCCAAATTGTCATCGAGTACCACGATGTCGGTACGCGGTGACCCTTCAGTACCTTCCACCAGTCGGCACTGCTCCCCATCCATGGGGCATGCCAAAAAGGCTAAGAAGAGGTCTTCTCTGCCGAGACACCGGAGCAAGACCGGGGGAGAGACTAGACCCAGGTTGGGCAGTTCTTGATCTCCGTTGGCCTCCAGGCCTACGACTCAGGTTGAGTGGAGCAGCCCGGCCCACTCGGCGCTGACCTCCCTGGATGTCTGGGTGCCCTCGATGCCAGAAGCCCTGCAGGTGGCCTGGGACGTTGTGTCTCTGCCGGTACCAGGGGCACCGCCACTGTTGGCTCCTTGGTCCAGAGGCAACCCGCTGCTTGGATCTACGCAGTGACCGCCTGGTCGGTCTAGGGAATGTTTGTGGTCTAGGAAATGTTCCCGATGCTGTTTGCCGCTCAGTGACCGCCCCGTATGCAGTCTATGCCATTCCCCGTCAACCCCCACCAGGTTGTCTGGCTGGGTTCCAAGTGGCAGGGGTTCCAGGCACCGCTCCGCCTCGAGGGACCACAGACCTCGCAAGGGGAGTGTGCCCCATTGAGATGGGGACAGACGGCACTGTAGGTCCTCGTCTCCGAGAGGCTACCGTAGCCTGTCGTGCTACAGGCATCGACACCATTCCCGTTCTTTGTCTCGCTCCAGTATCCCGCCACGGCAACGCTCCCGAAGTCCCAGGCATCGATCACCGGTACCAGGACTCCTTGGATGGCACCATGATACCAATGGGCCCTGTGGCCCCTGGTGCAGCCCCCAGTGGTGGCTCGCTCAGTGGCTGGAGCCTCGGCGAGACCCTCAGCCTCCCAGAAAGGAGTTGGTGTGGCGTTCATCTCTGGTTCCGTGCCTGGAGGGCGAGGGTCCACCAGGAACTGTTGAAAAGGGTGGCATCGAGCCTCAATCTTCAAGCCGAGGAGGTGGAGGAGCCCTTGGACTTCCTCTTCAATGTCCTCTCGGCCTATGCACCGGGCAGGGTGGCCCTCCCACTCCATGAAGGGGTGGCAAAAATTTCAAATGCCTTGTGTCAAACCCCAGCTTCCTTGCCCCCCATCTCTAAGAGGGCAGAATGCAAGTACTTTGTGCCCGCCAAGGGGCATGAATACATCCACCCTGCCACCAACTCCCTGGTGGTCGAGTCTGTCAACCACAGGGAGAGGCAGGGCCAACCAGCCCCTCCTCTGAAAAATATAGACTCAAAGGGTCTGGACTCATCTGGGAGAAAGGTTTATTCATCCTCGAGTTTCCAGTTAAGGGTGGCAAATCATCAGGCCCTCCTGGGGTGGTCTGAGTTCAATTTGTGGCTCTCTCTACCCAAATTCGAGGACTTCCTCCAGGAGCGTGACAAGAAGGAGTTCAAGGCTCTGGTGGAGGAGGGTACAGTGGCTGCCAGGGTGATCTTGCAGGCAGCGTCAGATGCCACGGATACGGCTGCAAGGTCTATGGCCTACGCGGTGTCCATGAGGAGGGTGTCATGGCTCCTGCTGTCAGGGCTGTCCAGCGAGGCACAGAACTCCTTACAGGACCTTCCGTTCAACGGCAAGGCCCTGTTTGAGGAACAGACGGACGTGTAATTGCACGGCCTGAAAGGTTCCCGCACTATGCTTAAGACACTGGGCCTCTATGTCCTGGGTCTGGCCAGGACCAAGTTTAAGCCTCAGTAGGCTGCCACCCATTCTAAATATGATCCCCCTTGTAAAAAGTCATGGGAATATAAGAAACACCCACAGAGGCAGTCCTGGTCTGTCCCCTAGCCTGGGCCTTCCAACGGCAAACAGGCGGGGAAATGTCAGTGTTGACGGGACGCCTGGGGGCGACTTACCAGTTCATACCAGGGATCCACCCGCAATAAAGCTTCCCTTGTCTAACCAGTTGTGTGCTTTTCTCCTGGAGTGGTTGCGGCTGATCTTGGACCGTTGGGTCCTCAACACCGTCTCCTGGGGCTACACCCTCCAGTTTACCTCTGCCCCGCCCAACCATCCTCCATCCCCATCACTCCTGGGGGATCCCTCTCATGAGGCCCTGCTCGAGCAGGAGGTGGGGCGGCTCCTTGGCCTAGGAGCGGTGGAAGTGGTGCCAGCGGAGTTCAGATGCAAGGGGTACTACTCCTGCTGTTTCCTTATCCCGAAGGCCAAAGGGGGGGCTCAGGCACATCCTGGACCTGTGAGGCCTGAACCAGTACATGGTAAAGTTCAAGTTTCGCGTGGTCTCCCTGGCTTCCATCATGCCCTCCCTGGATCCCGGGGACTGGTATGCTGCCCTTGATCTGCAGAACGCATACTTCAACATTCATATATTTGAGGGGCACAGGCATTTCCTCCGTTTCACGGTGGAGCAGGAACACTACCAATTTACGGTCCTCCCGTTTGGCCTGCCACTGCTCCCAGGGTATTCACAAAGTGCATATCTGTGGTGGCGGCCTACCTCAGAAGTTGTGGGGTTCAGATCTTCCCCTATCTCAACGACTGGCTGATCAAGGGCAGCTCCAGGTCGCAGGTGCGGGATCATGTGGCGCTCCTCCTGTCCACGTGCACCACCCTGGGCCTGTTGGTAAACGACACCAAATCCACGTTAAACTCTATGCACTTCACCGGGACTATCAGGGCAATCCTGGACATGACGTTGGCTAGGGCCTCCCTCCCACCAGACAGATTTGAGACCCTGAAAGGGCTCATTGACATAGTCACAAGGTTCCCCGTGACTATAGCCAGAGCGTTCCTCCAGCTCCTGGGTCACATGTTGGCGTGCACATTTGTGGTTCACCATGCCAGGCTCAGGATGAGGCCCCTCCAGCTCTAGTTGGCCTCGGTGTTCTCCCAGTCCAGAAACAGGATGGACAAGGTCCTCACTGTGCCCGAACCGGTGATCACATCCCAGTGATCCTCCCCAGGGAACATGCTCCTCAGGGTCCCATTCAGGGGCAGGCCCCCATCGGTGGAGCTGGTGTCCAATGCATCAGACCTGCTGTGGGAAGTCCCTGGGGGGAACGTTCAGATGCAAGGTCTGTGGTCCACTCAGGACTTTGCCCTGCATGTAAACGTCAAGGAGCTCAGGGTGGTCCAGCTGGCATGCATGGCCTTCTGCTCACACCTGTAGGGCAGAGTGGTCAGGGTTCTCATGGACAACATAGCCTCGATGTTTTACATCAACAGGCAAGGTGGGGCCCGCTCCTCTGCTAGGAAGCCCTCAGGCTGTGGGACTTTTGTATAGCCCACAATATTTGCCTACAAGCCCACCACTTACTAGGGGCCTGGAACTCGTGGGCGGATCGCCTGAATCAAGACATCTCCTCTCACCACAAGTGGTCACTACAACCAGAGGTGGTGCACAGGATTTTCCGAGAGTGGGGAACTCCCCAAGTGGACCTGTTCACTACTCAGCAGAACCACAGGTGTCCCTGTTTCTGCTCCGGGGGTGGGTGGGGGGTCGGTTGGGCGTGGGTGCTATCTCCGATGCCTTCCTCCTATCCTGGTCAGGCTAGCTTCTCTATGCCTTCCCCCCGATCCTGCTGATCGGCAAGGTCTTGGAGAAGATAAAAACGGACCGGGCCTGGGTTCTCCTGATCGTCCCAGCATGGCCCAGGCAACATTGGTATGGGACTCTCACGAGCCTAGCAGATGGCTGTTGCCGTCCTGCCCGGACCTGCTCTCCCGGGACCAGGGCTGCCTCCTCCACCCCAACCTAGCGGCACCCCACCTCACGGCGTGCCTGCTCAATGGTTAGGCTGGGAGGAAAGGACGTGCTTGGAAGGGGTTCAGCGCATTCTCCTGGAAAGCAGATGGCCCTCCACACGCCGTGCCTACCTGGCGAAGTGTTCTCAGTTTTCCCGGTGGGCAGCCGATTGGGGCGTTTCGTCTGTGGCTGCTCTGATCCAACTCATTTTAGACTACCTCCTTCACCTTAGAGCCCAAGGCCTAGCGCCCTCGTCCGTCAAGGTGCACTTGGTGGCCATATCGGCCTTCCACCCATCGGTGCAGGGGCACACAGTATTCTCCCATTCTATGACTGGTTGATTACTTAAGGGATTGGATCGTCTCTTCCCATATATTAGGCCCCCCAGTCCTGCAGTGGAACCTGAACTTGGTGCTGGCCCAGTTGACAAGTCCCCCATTTGAGACGCTAGCTACATGCTCCTGGTCACAGCTCTCATGGAAGATAGCCTTCCTGGTGGTGATCACGTCAGTTAGATGGGTCTTGGAGCTCAGGGCCCTGACCTCCAAGCCCCTGTACACGGTGTTCCATAAGGATAAGTCCAGCTCCGACCACATCCTTCGTTCCTCCCCAAGGTGGTCTCCACCTACCACAGGGGTCAGGACATCTTCCTGCTGGTGCTCTGTCCCAAGCCCCATGCCTCCAGCAAGCAGTGCCACCTCCACATGGCTCTGGCCTTTTATGTGGAGCAGACTAAGCTGTTCAGGAAGTCCTCACAGCTGTTCATCGCCTCGGCCAAATGCATGAGAGGTCGGCCGATCTCCACTCAGCGGCTCTCCAATTGGATCATCTTGTGTATTCGTACCTGTTACGACCTGGCGGGAGTTCCCACACCACCGATTGTGAGGGCACACTCGACCAGGGCACAAACCTTGTCGGCTGCCTTTTTAGCCCATGTTCCCATTCAGGACATTTGCAGGGCTGCCACGTGGTCTTAGGTTCACACATTCACCTAGCATTATGTGATCGTCTCCCAAACCAGGGAGGATGCTGGGTTCGGCAGGGCTGTACTCTGTCCCGAGAGTCTGTGAACTCCTACCCACCTCCAACAGATATTGCTTGGAATCACCTATTGTGGAATGCACATGAGCAATCACTCTAAGAAGAAAAGACAATTGCCTTTTCCATAACTGGTGTTCTTCGAGATGTGTTGCTCATGTCCATTCCACATCCTGCCCTCTTTCTGCTCTGTCGGAGTTGTCTGGCAAGAAGGAACTGAGGGTGGGGGGAGCACGCAGCTCCCCTTAAACCGCGCCATAGAGGTGCCACTCCAGGGGTCACTAGAGGCACTCCCCTATGGGTACTGCTAGGGGAAAAAGCTTCCTGCACCTGTGCACATGGCGAGTACGCACACCTACTGTGGAATGGACATGAGCAACACATCTCAAAGAACACCAGTTATGGAAAAGGTAGCTGTCTTTTCTCTTCCCTTCCCACCTACATGCCTGTGCCATGATGTGTTCCAGGAAAACTCTGCTCAAACATAGTTAGGGGTCAGTTGCCTTGTCCCCAGTTGCATGTAGCACAGCAGCAAATTAATGATGCTTTTCGGTAGCTGTGTAGAGAGGAAGAGGCAGCTCCAATGCCAATTCAGTAGTTCCTGCTACCACATCCAACAACCCTCATCCCATAAAACAACCCAACACCCACTCTTGCTGCCAAAACCAGCTTCAATTTCTTACCATGACTCAAAGGCTTGTAGGACTAGGACCATGACAAGATGCCCTGCATGGAAAAATGTTGAGAATGCCTGATCTTAGTAATGGATGCCTTCAAATGATTGTGTGTTTTTGCTAGCCTATATTTGGATATCTTGATGATTCTGATCACTAGTGAGCCACTGACTCAGTGACCTCCTGAGGTCCCTTCCAACCCTGATATTCTATGATTCTATGACCTTGGGCAAGTCAGTTGGTCTCTTCTTTGAGTATCAAGAATGCTCACTTCCTCAAAGACCCTGTGCTGTGGAGACCTTCTGTCCAGCAGAGGACAGCTACAGGTGCTGCTGTCCACTTCCACTAGAGTGGGAATATCAGGGAGCAAAGTGAAGTGCCTTCTAGCCCCACAAACCTTCAATTTTTAGGACTGAATGCATTGCTTTGGCAGCAATACCAGGTTGGACAGTGAGACTCCCAGTCTAGGACCCATCCAATAAACTCCTTGTGTTGCAACACGTTGTTGTAACACTAGACAAGTGGTCAGGTCAAGCAGAACTTTCATGAAAACTGTATGTGGCATCTGAGTTGAGCTCTGCCTCTGGTTATAGGTATTCCATATTAGGATTATTTCAGTGATGGATCTCAAATTACTGCTTCTCTCCCTGCTGCATTTTTCATGCACTATGGAGCATTATATATAACTGCCTCAGTTAGAATGGAAATAAAACAATCACATAGGATTTGTGGGAAAACCATTCCTAATAGAATACTAGATAAAGAATAAATAAAACCAAGTGTTATGTAGCATCATTTTATTTAAAGTTAGATATAGAAGAACTGACATTCATGTCAGATTTCATTTTGATGGATCTTTGCTTTGCCACTGTTGATACTATTCTCTCCACCTTCTACAGAACTGTGCTCAAAGATCTGTGAACTTCATATTGTAAAGGGAATAACAGCAACTATGTTTGCTTTTATAGGTAAGATGTCAACAGCACTGATGCTTCAAGGGCTGTGAAAGAAGCCACGTTTTATTTAGAAACCCGATAAAACGTTACTAAACTAGTTTTAAAGACAAAGTGTTTGACCTTGTAGCCCACTTAAAACTTAAACATGTATTTACACTGGATATTTTCTTGGTTTATGAACCTTAAATAAAAAAGTCATGCAAAAAGCTTTATTTGGTCTGTTGATCGTCTTTTGGTAATTCAAACCATTTTCAGTTCAGTAAAACTGTCCTTAATATCAAGCATAGACCATATACTTTCTATGCAAGATTTCTCATAACATTTGAGCATTGGACTGTCCCCTGAACTGTGCATGGAGATCATGTAGCTGGGGTTTGAACCTAATACTTAAGATTTGGGGAAAATCCAAAGAATTTAGAATTTTTTCCCCAAATCCATTATATGCAGGGCCAGTGCAAGGATGTTTCGCGCCCTAGGCGAAACTTCCACCTTGCGTCCCCCCCTCCGGCCCGGGGAGCCAGGGCTGCCCTAACTATTTTGGTGCCCTACGCAGCCCCAGGCCTCTGCGGGGGGCTGTGTGTGGCCCCACCCCAGGCCTCCACGGGAAGGGGGGGCTGGTCTCAGGCCTCTGGGGGCAAGGGGGGCTGGCCACTTCCTGCGGGAAGTGGAGCGACCCTGCCCCAGCCTGCTCCGCTCCCCTGGTTCCCAGCCGCGCTGCCGGCGAGTGCGAGGGAGCGGTTCCCCCCTCCCCACAAGCCTGGGAGCCAGGGGAGCAGAGCAGGCTGGGGTCAGGTCACTCCACTTCCCACAGGAAGTAGGCAGCCACCTGTCCCCCAGGAGGTCTGGGGCCAGCCTCCCCCACGGAGGTCTGGGACCCCAGCCTGCTCTGCTCCCCTGGCTCCCAGGCTTGGGGGGAGGAGGGAACTGCCCCCCCCAGCACTTGCCGGTGGCACGGCTGGGAACCAGAGGAGTGGAGCAGGCTGGGGCCGGGTTGCTCCATTTACCATGCGGTCAGTGCAGGGTCGGGCCTGGCTGCAGTCTTCAGGGGAGTGGGGGCGGGGCTGGGGGGGCGGGGGGGGGGGGGTTGGGGCAGAGCAGGTGGCAGAGCCATGGGGAAGAGCCGTACAGCCCCCTCTGTGGCAGCTCCCCACCTCGGGAGCCCCCCAGCAGCAGCTCCCAGCCCTGCAGCAGTCCCCCACTCCCCCTCCGCCCAAGCAGCTCCCCCTGCGGCAGCTCCCCACCCCAGCTCACCTCCGCTCTGCCTTCTCCCGCCTCCCAGGCTTGTGGCACCAATCAGCTGTTTGGCGCGGCAAGCCTGGGAGGGGAGGAGAATTAGAGCGGGGGTGGCGTGCTCAGGGGAGAAGGCGGAGCGGAGGTGAGCTGGGGCGGGGAGCGTCCCCTGTACATCCCAGCCCCCCTGTTACTTTCTGCGGGCAGCCCTCCCCGCACTCCCCTGCCCCAGCTCACCTCCACTCCACCACCTCCCCTGAGAGTGCTTTTTGGCACCCGCAACCACGTGGCTCCCTAGGAGGCCGCCTAGTTCGTCTAGTGGTTGCACCGGCCCCGATTACATGAAGGAAAATACAGGAGAGAGAAAAAATTATTTAATTGACTGCAATGTATTTGGAGTTGTCCTCAAACATATGTCATATTCCAGTCTTTCCTCCCCACCATATTGTATTGGTTATTAACAGATGATTATATTAATGAACAGTAATCATAATATATCTATATCTCATGTAGGAAACAATAGTAGGACCTGAATAAAAGAGATGACAGCCATTTCTAATGACTGAGTTTGTGATTTATCAAGCAGTGTACACTTCACAGTTGTGATGTGAATTTGCTGTACATCCTGTAACCATTTGTTTTGGTAGAGATTAACCCAAGCCTAAAACCTCAGATCCAAACTTCAGGGACATTCAGTTCTGGATCTGAAGGTTGAGATTCTCGTCTATCATTTGGGCTGGGCTTTAAGAACATAAAATATCATGAGAGTGACAACACAGCTTTACTAATGTCTACAAGATCTGTCCTCTGGTTATTGTTCACTCTGTTAAAGCTCTACTCTTAGCCCTGATCTACACTGGGGCAGGGGATCGATCTAAGTTACGCAACTTGTAGCTGAAGTCGACGTACTTAGATTGACTTACCATGGTTCTTCACCGCGGTGAGTCAACTGCTGCCGCTCCCCCGTCAACTCTGCCTGCACCTCTCGCGGCGCTGGAGTACAGGAGTCAACGGGAGAGTGCTCGGGGGCCGAGCTTGGGGGTAGGTACCACAATATAGGTATGATAAAACAATTTTGGTTTATTTGTGCTTCTTGACTGGGAAGGCGTAGGGAAGTGTGAATTCATTGCCAGCTAGGATACTCTGACCATTTGGACATCTGCTTGATGCATTCTCTCATGTAAGGTTTGTTTGCTTTCTTTCTTGCTTGCTTGCCAGATTTGGTGTACGTAGCATATGCAGCCTGTAGTGGATGGGCCAGTGGCAATATGAGTGGGTTTTATATAATTCTGGTGAAGTGAGAATCTGCCTCAAGCAACAGAAGTGGGTAATGTTTGATAAAATTGAGGTGAAGGTCCATTTCAGAGTGGCCACCCTGAGGAATATGGGAGATCACTGTTGGAAGCTAAGCTGGGTTTAGAAGATACCAGTGAATGTATGAGAGAACAGAAAGCATGTTCTTTAAAGGTGACCTGCAATTTTTTTTAAATTAGCTTCTGTCCCCTTTTGTTTCTTTATAAAGTAGCAAGAAGGCCTGAAAGGATTCTTCTTGTTTACAAAGTTTTTTAATTGCTTTTTTTTCTACTTTAGAAATACCAGGCATATGGACTTCCCTGGTTTTGCTGGAGGACCACTGCGAGGTCTCAGAGCATGTTTATTGTACACTCTAATATACTTAATTGTAGGGGCATGAGATCTTGGTAACTGAAATTAAACAATTAACAAAAACAAAACACAAAGAATTACAATCCGACTAAAAATCACATCCTGTTTTATTTGCTTAATTTTCACTCTTGGTTCTTGTGATGTCACAATTATGCTCATTCTCCAGTCATCTTAGTCTTCCATTCTAAACTAGGTCTCAATTTCTAGTGCAATATCCAAGAAAGGGGGAAAAAAATTCTAGTTTTTAGGCTGCCATTAGCCGTCATAAAGAAGCAAGAAAGAGCACAAACCCCAATTTTGTTTTCTTTGCAGTTCATTTTAAAGGGCCTCTGGAATTTTATATTCTTTTGTTTGATCTATTTGAGGATTGCTTACATCTGCCATCATCTTGGCTGTGATTATTTCTGGAGGCATTACTCCTAAAAAGCTGCACACCCAAAAGTGTCGCTATAGCATTAGTTAACATGAATTAGTTGTTGCTTATACCATTCCTGGAGTGACTGCTATCTGGTGGTAGTTCTTGTTTGAAGGATAAAACTCTGGGGATCCATTTCAGAGGGACCACTGATAAGCATAATAATAAAGGGTACTTGCCATTCACATGTGGTGAAGTCTCCTACATTCACCCATCGCTAAGTGCATTGGGGATAAGGTATTTGGCCCGCATTGCACTGCACTCTATGATTATTTGAAGAGTTTGGAGACAAACTGGATCTACACTTAAACTCTACAAAATCTCCATGTGACACATAGAGTTTTTGAGCTGAAGCCCACTTTAGATCTATGTTGTGTGATCTCATATCTTCTTCCGTGATAACACATGGCTCTGTAACAACAACAAAAATATTATTAGAATGTTATAGAAATCCAAATGGAAAAATCCTGCAGTGAAACTGAAGGAGATCCCATGATAAAATAATTAAGGGCCATTGTGCCCTCTGTGACTCTCATTGAAGCTCGTTGGCTTCAATACATGATGTAAATGTGATTTCAAGTAGGGAACTTTAGTCCTAGGAGAAAGCAAACAGTTTTTTCCACTTTCTGAAAGTCACTTACTACAGATGATTAGTGTTACCTGAATCTGAATGTAATGGGTAATGTCACTGTTTGTAGACTATTTGCAAAAAGAGTGTAACATTCCTTTTAGTGATGAAGCAGTAAGACAATAAAAGCATGAAACTTATGGAATGTTTTCTATATGCAATTAATTTAGTGCCTTTACCTAGCATAAAATAGAAATTAGGAACAATTTCAAATAAAATGTATTTGAAAAAAGTGTTAACTAAACCAAGCTCTGAGATAGGTAGAGTTTATTCAGGAGCTGTTCAGTGTCCTGTGAGATGTCAAGCCCATTCAACTGGGTTGTGGGCAGGCAACTGCAAGTGCTCTTCCCAGGTAGTGGGTGATGCTGCAATGCCTAATTTTGATGTAATTTAGGTGGCCTCTCTGTCATGTGGAATCCCCAGGGAGGCAGAGGTGGTGGTGACAGCAGTTAGGGAGGGGCAGAGGAGGGACGGTTTTGGGAAAGGGGCAAAATGAAGGAAGCTGCCAGTTTTACAAAAATGCAGGTAACTACAAACAATGTTTTTTTTCTTTTCTCCTGTACATGGCAGTCTTGAGAAGGCAAGAGAAGTGATTAAGGAATTACAGTGCTCCAAGGTGACAGGCTTGCTATATTATAGAGGTTCCGCTATATCCTCAACCATCCTTTTTCCTGACCCCCCCCCAGCTCCCACTGATCCACCCTTGCCTTCCCACCCCTGCTGGGCTAGACTTCCACACCCACACCCCACCTTCCATCACTAATCCCTCTTTCATTCTCCCTTCCATAGCACCCCTACCCCCCACTGGCCCACCAATACCCTTGTCCCTACTGGCTCCGGTAGCATGCCAGCTGCCTCAGGTATCCCCGGCCCCTCTTACTTATCAGATTTGTGGCAAGTAAGTTCTTACTTCCCCATTCCTACTGCCACTATGGGGGGAAATCAAAAAAAATTTCTCGCTGGTGAGAAGTATCACACCTGGAGCTGCTGAAAACTTTGTAGCTACAGTTTATTCCATCTGCAGCTCTATGAATGTAATACACCACTGGATATAGAGGCAGCATGCAAACAGAGCAATAACCCATTCCTTTGTGATATCCTGACCCTTATTAACTCTGCTGGTATGAATTTGGCCTCTTATAGGAACTTTTCCCCCCAACATACTGTTTCGAGGACTAGTCCTTTTCATTTGGCATAGCTTAAAGTGGCCATTTTGTAACTGGCTGCTCCTTGCTACTTCTTCATTCCTTCCAGTTTGTCAATGTTTTTAACTCCTTTTACTTTTTCCCACCCTTATTCATGAGGGGATGGCACATTTCTCACAAGTGTATTTAAAAAGAAATTTTTACTCTCTTAAGCTTGGTTCATCATGCTGCTAGAACCATCACATCAACTACCAGAATCAAATTGATAGTCAGATGTGAATGTTAGTCTGGTTAGAATGGCAGCTGGACTCCTTGATGCTGGATATTTGGTTATATAATGTTCTGGCTCTTTGCCTTAGGTAGGAGCAAATATGGTTTAATCCAATTAACTTCACTCTGTCTTTTCCTTTTTAGCTGGTTTGTTAATCATAAAGCTGGTTTGAAAATTACCATTGAAACATTTAAAATAGAAAAATAAGGAGATATGTTTGTAAACATTTTCATAGAAATATTTTCCAAGACTTTGATCAACTCTAGTTAATTATGCTGTTAAATTTACATGTCACTTATAGTAAAAAAGAGTCATGCAGTGGCAGCTTTGAAAATAAATTTCAGCTTCATGAAAAAGAAATGACAAAATAGTAGCCAGGAGATCATGGTTTATAAAATTAATTTAGTTATAAATTGAAAACTTTTTACTACTGAATATTTTTCTTACCTAAACAAACTGGTGCTTTTGTCCAGTTTCCATTGTAACAGTATGATTTCCGTTCTCCTTTTATTATGTAATGATGTTGGCATTTGTATTCTACCGAAGAGCCAAATACGTACTCTTTTAGGGATAGAGTAGTTATGTCTCCATTCTTAATAGTAGGTGGCCGGCCACACTTTTCCCCAGTTCCTAAATGAAAATATCTGTAGTTATGATTTTGTACAGATACAAATGTTTTTGGCTTTGCTATTCTGTATGTAGCATGCTGATGGCACCAGTATTCATCGGCCACAATGCTCTGAATTTTTTGTCTTTTCAGGCATAATCCAGCTCTCACTGAAATCAATAGTTTAGCCAGGGGGCAAGATTATACTGGTATACATTTAAGCAAGATCCTAAGTGTTACTCTAACACACATTTATATAACATCTATGGTCATAAATTCCTTTATTTTGGAAATTATGGAATAAACTGCATTGAATTTGTCATTAATAAACATAATCTGCACTCTTGATCCTTTCACCTTTGTGCACATATTCTACATGACTGGTCTAGTTTGCTGATCTAATTGATCCAGGATGATACCGGACAATTCCTTCCTATCTTGCAGTTACCTTAGCTTTACAAAAATGCATGTAACCACAAAAAATGTTTTTCTCCTGTATTTGGTGGCCTTGAGCAGGCATGAAAAGTGATTAAGGAATTACACTGTTCTAAAGTGCAAGGCTTGCTATATTCAGTCCTAGACAAGTAGTTGCCAGATCACTTAGGCTGAGCTTGTGCTATAATCCCATCTGAGCTCCTATGGGGCCTTGGGTGAATCACATCTTTACACATGGAAACTTTGGGTGAAACATCAGGATCTCACAGGAGGTAAAACATTGCATCTGAGCTAAATTTTCCATAGTAAACAACGTATATTATTATGAGTCTGAACCCTGCTTGCCTGACACCGAACTAGTGTGAGGAATAGGACACCATGCAGATGAGCCTGGCCTCTGGCAGGTAGCCTAAGATCTTCAGGCTCTGGGATACTAAATCCCTGGCTACTTCCAAGTATGGCAAAACTCTACCACCCATCAAATGAAAGGATTGCCAGGAAAGTCCAGGTTGAAACTCTCCTTTAAGTAGGTTACTCCCAAGGCATTTTCTATGGGTTTCAGACCTGGACTGTTGAATTAGTGTTGAAACCCTCCCCCCCCCCACTTCTGTCTATTAGATAAAGCTTTTTGTCTCTGTAAAAGGAAACATGTATGTTTTTGAAAGAAGTGGTCTCGCTGCCCATGTTTACCTTTGTCAGTGTTTCACTGGACCAGCTTGGCTGGTGCCAGAGTTTTTAAAGCTATCTGATTAATTAAATAGAAACATGAATAGGATGATTTTCTCAGGAAGTCCTGAATTACCAAGTCCCAAATAAATCTGAAAGGAAGACTGATTTGCTTAACTCTGCCTGGAACCAACATTAATCCATTACATGTACGTTCCCCTCCTTATTGCTCAAACATATTTGAGGAAAAGAACTGATATAGAACTAAGTACATTTACCAGATATACAAGTTGGTAAATCCATATGCCCATCTACACACTCGATGGGGAAGGGGATTTTAAGGTCAGAATGTTCGCCACAAAGAAATTCCATTGTTTGGTCACTTTGAATCAATACCGTACGTCTTCGGCCATTGGACAGAAGCAATTTTTTTGTTTCCAATTGTTGCCTTGTGATAATACATGGAGCTTTAAATAAAAAAGAGCAACACAAAAAAGTAGATTAAAAGTTTAAATATCTCCTCCCTCATTAACAGTGCTGCAGATTCCATACTTCGAGTCATCTTCCCTTTTTGTTTACCACATAGAGAATGAATGACACTTAACAAAGAAAAAATGGACTATAGTACTCTAAAAAGTGATTTGTATTAGTTGTTAGATCAGGGAACTCTAAATCAGAACTCCTGTGTTCAAGTCCCACCTCTACCATTAACTTGCTGTGTGGTCTTGGCAATTTCCTTAATTTCATTGCTCTAGTTTCTCCATTCTTGTAATGGGGACAGTAAGTTCCAGTTGTTAAGGAATGTATGAAAGGTATTCTAATATAAATTATTGTTAAGCAAAGCCAATAGGATACTGTTATCTACACTGTCCCTACAAGATAATCTGGAATTTACTATCTATCAACTATATAGTCCTGTTCACTGATCAGTATTCAGCTCTACCTAAAATTAGATAGTGTATGATGCTCCAGCAAGTCTCATTTTGGACTTGATCCTTTGATACCAGTGAAGACAATGGGCATTTTGCCATTGCATTGTATGGGAGCAGGATCAGAAATTATGGGAGTTCTGGAAACAGTAAGTAGCCACCCATAGAATAGTATACGTCATTAAATAATACTATGAGACAAGAGAGGGATGTTATGCCCCACCTACTTTAGTCCAATGAATTAAGAACCAAAACATTATCCTACCCAAGCACTTTGGTGGAGGTGTCCATTTTTCTCCACTGCATGTTATCCTTTCAGGTCCTGCCAGAGTGCATCCTGGGTAGCACCTGTACTGAACAACATCACCCTCCTGATATTTTGCTTTCTCCCCACTGACAATTTCTGCCAAATCGATGTCAGGTGGATGTGGACACTCTTGAACTGCAACACACAACATGTGCTAACCTATTACCGTTGGGGGTCGAGGGGGAACAGAATTGAAGAAACAACAGTGTTACATCAATTTTATGTGTTAAGTTCTTTGGGGTAAAGATTGTCACTTATATTATGTTAGATGCTGAAGAAATACAATGAGGCCCTGATCTTGACTGGGGTCTTTGTGGCTAGAACAAAACAAATAATAATTAATGGGGGATATTTCCATCATGAAAATTGATTAAAATAAAAGTCTGACGTGTGAGAGCTTCATGAATGTTCAATGGGTAACTTGAAGAAACACTGCTCCTCTCATTTCCTGTATTAGAACATTATTTTCACTGATGTACATCATAAGAAGAAGCTCCAGTTAATTGACATAAGAAAAGAAGTAATATTGTTTCTGTTTGTAATTAGTGTCTTGACCTTAAAGTTGATACATCATTAAGTGATGCGAATAGGTGTAAGGGGATCTAAATACAAGTTTAAGCTATGATATGGTGATCTAATTTACACCACCGTACAACATTATCTTTGAATATTCCTTATAAGCTTTCCACATCACCACACTTTCTTATATTTCTAAGGCCCAGATCCGGCACCATTACAGTCAGTGAGAGCTTTTACACCGACTTCAGTGAGTACAGGATCAGGCTCTGAATGAATAGCAGCTATATTTTAAGGTAGGAAGAATGCCTTCCTGCCTCTCTATGTTTGGGATAATTGCTTAGAGAGGTAAGTCCTCCTCAGCACTCGTGTTGATCCAGAACACCATTCTAGCCCTTTTTCTTGGGGGAGGCAGAATAGCATTCCAGTATTTCTGATAATTGAAAAGTAAACCAATGATTATTGATGCTAAAATATTGGAATTTTCATTAGTGCTTTTTCAAAAATCCTGTTTCACAACCCTGTTAATTCCAGCTTTTTTGCCAGCATCAGTTTATCAAAAAGACACATGATAAATTGTCTACTTCATAAATATATAATGCTGTCAGAAAAAGGGTGTCAAAGTGTGTGATGGCCTGGCTTGTCCATATGTGAAGAAGTGACTTGCAAAGCATCGATCAGCAGAAGACACAAAATCATGGAAAAAGTTACTCAAAGAGGCAGTTCAAGCAGCAAACTGATACTGTATTTGGGTAGACAATGAAGAATATGGGTGTGTGTGTGTGTGTACACATAGCATCTTTCAGGTGTGCAATAAAAACCTACATTACTATTATAAGATATTCTTGCTGTTGAAATTGTATGTTCTGGCACTTTTTTTTTTTATTAAGGATTTGAGCTCTGGTTCTCCTTCATTTTAGATACTGTGAGAAAATTTACCTGGTTTTGTATTACCAAACTAGAGAGTTTAGTATCTATTTTAAGAACACATTACATTCCACATTATTTATAGAACTGATTGATTGATTATTAAAACACTTGATGGTTTTTCAAATAAACACAATTTGTCTGGGGGAAAAAGAACTAACAGAAATTAATCTTAAATGAAAGCTTTCTTACCAATACATATGGGTACTGGAGACCAGCCTTCAGAGGTACAGATAGTTTCATTAATTCCATTTTCAGATTTATATCCATGATTACATTGAAAGGTTGTTTTTTCTTCAACTTTGTCCACTATTTTCCCATTTTCTATTCTTCCACATTGTATTGCTGAATAAAAACAGAACAACATAATCAAAAAGACTATTACAGATAATATACAGGAATACATGGTGTATTGTATACAACATATTGTACTACCATAATAGTTAGCACTGCATCATTAGGAGAGCTGGTCAATTTAGAAAAATAAATTTTTGACATCTGTTTTCTCAAAAAGCACAAAATATTTTGTGGAGAAACTTGTGATTTTATGACAAGTTTAATTGAATTTTTTTGAAATGTAAATGAAATTTTTACACCCAATTTTTTTTTGAAAACTTTAAGCATTTTTTGAACAGGGTAAAAAATTTTTAAAACACCTGGACTTTCTACAGTGACTTACACACTCAGGACCCAGAGTCCCATTGGCTTTCAGTGGTAGTTAGGATCTAAAGTGTCGAAGTCACTTTGAAATTGGGACTTAGGCTTTAACTCACCTACGTATTTCTGAAAACATTACCCCATTACTCTAGATCTAATTAAGTCACTGACAGAAAATCAAAGTTAATTATAGCTCATATGAAAGTACTGGAAACATGAGCTGACGAAAACTCTTAAAATACACCTATTGTCAGGGTCCTTGATTAAAATATGGTTGCTCTCTAAACTGAGTACGAACATGGTTGCAATTTATAGCATAAACTGGATGTTATCTGTGTCTTGTAACTTTGGCTTGACTAAGTGAAGGCAAAGTGAAAACTCTCACTAGTGACAGGAAGAGCATCCAAATGTAACTACCAAGTATATTAAATTATTAGAGTTTGTTATGCTTCTACACGTTTGTACAGTGCCTAGCATAAAACAGCCCCGATCCTGAATGGGGCTATTACAATACAAATAAAAAACAATAATACTGATAAAGTGAAGAGAAGGTGCTCTCTTCTCTGAAATTGTTGCTTGATTTATTTAAGCTTTTTGACTGATTAGGATTGAATTGCAATATCCAAGAAAGGGGGGGGAAAATTCTAGTTAATATTAGGATTGAATCTGTTCAATAATGCTAGATGAGGTAATGCTGCACATTACCTGTAGTACTTAAAGTTAAATACAATGACAATAGTGTTCTAAAGTATGTTGTGGTTTGTTTTGTTTTGTTTTGCTTAATCTGGTCTACAATATCTTGCTATCAACCTAATCACCAAAATGTAGGTGCTACATTAGTTTTATTTTTATAATAGCACTATTTTGTCTAATTTTGTACATGTTTTTGGCTAATTTTTGTGTAGTCCTAATTTTTCTTTTAGATTGTGTTTGTGATATTATTAGTGTACACATATATTGCATTATCCCTAAAAGGCATCAAAACCAGTTAAGAGACCTGTATAGCATAACAGTGTAAATGTAATGTAAAGTCATACAAAATGAAGTGTAATGTTATTCAAAGAATCACATATGTACTGAGTGAGTATAATATTCTGCTATCATTATTGTATCAGTTTTGGTCACTCTGTAATAGGTATTGTGACAATTTGGAGAAGTGGGTTGGATAATTTATGAGTTTTGGTTGATGCTATGAAGTTGTTATGAAATTGCTGTATCAGGGAATGCTTCCATATGGATGTGGAATCCACCATTACAGATTCAGCCCAATCTCCTACACCTTCTACATCTACAGTAATAATTGATGTTGATAATGATGACCCTGAGGCACTGCAAGATCCTGAAGTGTCTTCTGAATCATCAAAGATTAAATTATGTTCAGTATAGTTTTAGTATTAGGTGTATTTTTAGTGAGCTGGGTGTACAACATGTGCTGCCCATAGTGATAGGTAGTGTCTTAAGATAACCTACTGTATAGAAAAAGTTACCTGTATAAACCTAAGTGCTTCAAGAAACCAAGCTCTCTGCAGTGCAGTACTACTACTACTATACTTTATCCATTTTATTGTATTCTAATTCTTTGAAAATTGGTATTCCATTGGTAAGTATAGCTCTTAGTTAACCAGAATTTTTGATTAACCCCCCATTCTCCCAACATGCCACATAACAAAACTTTTACTGTATATTGTTCTTCGTTTTTGTGATGCAGGTGATGTGGTGGGGACCTGTGGAAAACAGTAAGAGAGTTTGCCCTCTACCTTCATCTCTGTAATTACAGCTGATCCGTGTTGCAGAGTTGCTTCCTGGGAACTTGGCATTGGTGGTTTGCTGAGAATTCTGGAAAAGGGGGTTCACTGAGTGCCCTTTGTGACTGCTGTGTTCCAAGACTGGTGTATATAATGAAAGTAAATAAGCAGCAAACAGCCCATGTACAGTGGGTAAGTATTTCAGTACATCTCGAGTACTATAAAAACTGCAATGTATCTCTCTCTTTGAAGGACAATATAGAGGAAGTTAACCTTATTTAAAGCTCACTTACGAATGCATCTGGGTACAGGAGACCATCCTGAAGAAGTACACTCAATTCTGTTGTTGTCATTTTCTGCTATATACCCGGCATTACATTCAAATGTTCTTTTTCTTCTCTGGAAGAAGAAACGTGGCTTTACACTCCCATTTTCTATGTTACCACATGAAATAGCTGAAAGCAAAATAAATACATAAACTCAGACATACTGTATATAATCTGAAATCTCTGGTTGTATATTCTGCTGATCTTATTTAGCACAACATAATACATTTAAAGAAAATGAAAAAGGATTTAAACTTGGTTGGAGCCATTTGGAAAAGCTGAGGAACATCAGCTGGGTGAAACGAAATGAAAACTCTCCTAGTAAAGGTTTAAAATGAAAATACTCCCATGGGTAACTAACACTGGAATTACTAACGAAAGTTAATTAAGATATAAAAATAGGCAAAACAGTTTATATAACATGACTTTTTTTAAATTGAGCTGTCACCATTCCTAATGAAGCCTGCTTGCTGCCCTGATTTTCCCAAAATGTACTAATGCAAATATGGTTAGGCAGCATGGAACATATGGACAAGCACACACAGTTGTGGTAGCAGAGAAGTTGCTGTATGAACACTAGAGCTAAGGCAAATAATGGATTTTTCATCTTGGTGACAGAAAAATGTATTGGATTGAGCTAAAAATGTCCCTCTCCCACCCGAAATTTGGAGCAAATAAAAATACCCCCAAAATTGTTTTGGGTTGAACAAAACATTTCATTTCAATTTTGAGCATTTTGTAACACTTTTCATTTTTAAAATAAAATGCAAGAAAAATTTGAAACAAGGTTTTCTTTTTTTAGAATAAAAAATGGTAACAAAAAAAGTCCAGAGAAATTATTTAATTTTTTTGAGAATTTTTAAAGGTTTTTTACTGAAATAATTTGGCAAAATCAACACAAATTTATGAAATGTTGCAGAGTTGCTAAATCTGCATTTTAGTGATGGTTAATCTGTGTGAAATATTATGGAAAGGGGGCAGCAGTGATGCAAAGAATTGTGCATTTCTGGCATATTCAGGTGGTATAAACTAACTAACAGCTAAATTTGGAGAGGACGAATTTTCTGTATAGCTGTTACACATACAAAATGACAATTACTCCATTAGCATCTTCAAAACAGGCTCTGCCCTTGAAGCAGTGTCTCTGCTTTACCTTGCCCCTCAGTTGTACTACTAAGTCACCATCAGTTTTTCCTACCCCAATAGGCCTAGATGGTAGTATGTGCTTAAAATCTTTTCCTTTCAGTTATCTCTATACCTTAACATGGTCTTTTTAAAAGTCTATATTTTGTTTGTATCTTAACATCTTACCTAATGCAATGGAGCACCCCCATAATACCAGAATGGCAATATATCCAAACTGCGTCATCTCTGTGCCTCAAAAGTTTGGCCCGCAATTTTAAAGTGCTGGTGTAGTGTAGTGCTGTGCCCTGGACTCTGTCCTTACCAATGTCTTTTAAAGTCTGACCTCTTGTTTATAATCCCTTCACTGCTGGGCCCCACACTCTGTCAATATTGCATCACAGATGTATGCAAATTTTAATTTAAAAGGCAGTCATAGTTGTTCAAAAAGATCAATTTCTTCCAGTAATTCCCCTCCCACGTTTCCTTGAACAAGTGCGCCAACTGTCTCCCATCCAGCTGTATGGGCTCCAGGTCAGTAAGGTTCCTAGGAGCTAGGACAGGTTTTAAATCTAATTATGGTATCTGAACAAGACTGATCTGAACTAGGGTGAATACCATGATAGATCCCACTGCCACTGATCTAATGCCAGTTGAAGTCAATGGCAGATTTCCTGTTGATTTTCATGGATTTTGGATCATGCCAACTAAGTGGAGAGAAATTCAGTGTAATGCAAAAGAAGCACTTACAATAATTTGGACTGTATTCTTCATAAAGCTCACTTAAATTCTCTCTCTGTACCTTGATATTTAAGGTGAGGTGGTGGAGGAGATTAATACTCAGTCTCCAAAAGATTTGTTGAGCGCAATATCCAAGTGCAACAGTTCATTAGCCTTCAAAAGTCCTTCGTTTACTTTGTGGAGCACTGAAATGATATTGCTGAGCTTTAGTGTCATTCATGTATCCTAGATTTTCTGTACTGTGCACTAAAAATGATTAAAATATTCAATGGACCTAACTATATATAGTGAAACCTGTACTTATTAGGCAATCTCCTGTCTTAAGACCACCCTGAAGTATCTCTAGATATGTAGAGTGCAATCATCTTGTACCTTCATTAGGAGGTCACCCCCTGTTGAGCAACTAATTTTTTGTCAGCTACTTGAACAGTTTTTTAAAACAGGCTACACTGCAATTTGATACTGAGATCGTGGATTGGGACTTTCATCCTTTACACAATCAAAAACAGCACGCAAGCACAACGGGGATCCCAAACAGCCATGTTTACAAAAAATATAAAAGCATACAGGGCCTAACTACAAAGATACTGATGTTCTGACTGAATTCTGGTAGCTTCTAAAAGATAACAAAGTGAGCACCACTAGAAAGCTCACGAAGTATTTAAATGGATACTACCCTATACACTAGCGGGAGTCTGGGTTCAGTCCAGCCTGGAGGCTCACCTTCACCTTTCAGCCTGATTTTTCCCATGCCCACTGGTACTATAATTTTTTTTTAAATAGTGGGAGAGAGGAGAAGAAGGTTGATGGAATGGGGAAGGACATGGAAATAGAGTAAAATTCTGGACCCAAGGAAGTTAATGAGAGTTTTTCAATTGATTTTAGTGGAGCCTGGATTTCACCATAACAGTCAAGGCTTAAGGCCAGATTGCAAAGGTATTTAGGTGCCTAGTTCTTTTTGGTTTCAATGGGACTGAAGTGCCTATGTGCTTTGGAGTATTCAAGTAGGAATTTATTTGAATCTTTATGGACCTAAGTCCTATTGAAACCAAAAGCAGTTAGGTGCCTAAATACCTTTAAAAACTGGCTCTTAATCGCTCTTTGTGAAATAGTCACACTTATGAAATACTTAGAGCTAGGCAAACATTTTTGAAAGCTGATTCATTAATACTTTCTCAAATAAAATCGGAGTTCATGTTCGCTGTTGAATGTGTATTGTTAAATTTTTGCTAATAAATATTCAGAAAGAAAGTGTCTATTTGTGAAAACATCTTAAAATCCTGCAAGCTTTACAAATTGGAACACAAATGGTTATGAAAGTCACTTGATATGTGTTTTGTTAGTTTTTGCTATTTGTTACTCATTAACCTCCTTTGGAAATGTTTCAGTCATCGAATCGGTGAGCAGAAACAATAACCTGGTTTCCAAAAAAAGATTAGGAGTTGTCATGCATGATTTGACCTATAGTCCAGCTAGTGTAACATACTGTTCCTGGCAGTGCTCAGTGCTTCAGGGAGAAGTTTTAAGAAATCCCATAAAGGGCAATTACAGAATAATTTGCCCATAGGGGAAATTTCTTTCCAACCCCCAATAGTTGGATTTATGCCCTGAAGCATGTAGGTTTATATGTGCCCAATCTAATGTTCATTGATGGAAAGATTCCTTTTGACTTCAGTGGACATTGGAATAAGTAAAAACAATGAGGACTCCTTGTGGCACCTTAGAGACTAACAAATTTATTTGGGAATAAGCTTTCGTGGACTAAAACCCACTTCATCAGATGCATGGAGTGAAAAAGACAGTAAGGAGAATATCTATTCTAGCACATGAAAAGATGGGAGTTGTCTTACCAAGTGGGGTGGGGGGTTAGTGCTAACTAGTCAATTCAATTAAGGTGGAAGTGGCCTATTCTCAACAGTTGACAAGAAGGGGTGAATACCAAGGGAGGGAAAATTACTTTTGTAGCGCTAACGAAGCCAATGCAATCAAGGTGGCCCATTTCCAGTAGTTGACAAGAAGGTGTGAGTATCAGCAGAGGGAAAAATACTTTTTGTAGTGACCCATCCACTCCCAGTCTTTATTCAGGCCTAATTTGATGGTGTCTAGTTTAGAATAAGTGTTAATCTAGCTAATAAAAACAACAAGGAGTCTGGTGGCACCTTAAAGACTAACAGATTTATTTGGGCATAAACTTTCATGGGTAAAAAACCCACTCCTTCAGATGCATGGAGTGAAAATTACAGATGCAGGCATTATTATACTGACACAAAGAGAAGGGAGTTACCTCACAAGTGGAGAACCAGTGTTGACAGGGCCAATGCAATCAGGGTGGATCATAGAATATCAGGGTTGGAAGGGACCTCAGGAGGTCATCTAGTCTAACCCCCTGCTCAAAGCAGGATCACTCCTCAGACAGATTTTTACCCAGTTCCCTAAATGGCCCCCTCAAGCATTGAACTTGCAACCCGGGGTTTAGTAGGCCAATGCTCAAACCACTGAGCTTTGATGTAGTCCATTCCCAATAATTGATGAGGAGGTGTCAATTCCAGGAGAGGTAAAGTTTCTTTTGTAGTGAGCCAGCCACCCCAGTCCCTATGCAGGCTCAAATGAATGGTGTTAAATTTGCAAATGAATTTTAGTTCTGCAGTTTCTCTTTGAAGTCTGTTTCTGAAGTTTTTTTGTTCAAGTATGGCTACTTTTAAATCTGTTATAGAATGTCCAGGAAGATTGAAATGTTCTCCTACTGGCTTTTGTATGTTACTATTCCTGATTTCTGATTTGTGTCCATTTATTCTTTTACGTATTCTTCATCCGGTTTGGCCAATGTACATGGCAGAGGGGCATTGCTGGAACATGATGGCATATATCACATTAGTAGATGTGCAGGTGAATGAGTCCCTGATGGTGTGGCTGATGTGGTTGGGTCATCTGATGGTGTCGCTAGAGTAGATATGGGGACAGAGTAGGCAACGAGGTTTGTTAAAGGGATTGGTTCCTCGGTTAGTGTTTCTTTGGTGTGGTGTGTAGTTGCTGGTGAGTATTTGCTTCAGGTTGGGGGGCTGTCTGTAAGCAAGGACTGGCCTGCCTCCCAAGGTCTGTGAGAGTGAGGGATCATTTTCCAGGATAGGTTGTAGATTGTTGATGATGTGATGGAGAGGTTTTAGCTGAGCGTTGTATGTGATGGCCAGTGGTGTTCTGTTATTTTCCTTGTTGGTCCTGTCCTGTAGTAGATGACTTCTGGGTACCCATCTCGCTCTGTCAATCTGTTTTCTCACTTCCCCAGGTGGGTATTGTAGTTTTAAGAATGCTTGATAAAGATCTTGTAGGTGTTTGTCTCTGTCTGAGGGATTGGAGCAAATTCGGTTGTATCTTAAGGCTTGGCTGTAGACAATGGATCGTGTGATGTGTCCTGGATGGAAGCTGGAGGCATGTAGGTTAGTATAGCAATCAGTAAGTTTCCGGTATAGGGTGGTGTTTATGTGACCATCACTTATTTGCACTGTAGTTTCAAGGAAGTGGACCTCTTGTGTGGACTAGTCCAGGCTGAGGTTGATGGTGGGGTGGAAATTGTTGAAATCCAGGTGGAATTCTTCAAGGGCCTCCTTCCTGTGGGTCCATATGATGAAGATGTCATCAGTGTAGTGCAAGTAGAGGAGGGGCGCTAGGGGATGAGAGCTGAGGAAGCGCTGTTCTAAGTCAGCTATAAAAATGTTGGCATACTGTGGGGCCATGCGGGTAAAATGTTGCTGCCCCTTCCCCCTCTCCTGTCAGCGGCCCTGCCAGTACAGACCCTACCGGCACAGCTGCCGACCGGGGAGGCAAAAGGGGCAGGGACATTAAAGCACTGCCGCAGCAGCACTTTAATGTGGGCTGGGTATGGGCCAGTGCAGGTTCTTACCGGTACGGAGTACCGGCCCATACCGGCTCACTTTCACCCCTGCCTCTGCCCCAAGCCCTAGCCCTAAGCCCCTTCCTCCACACCACACCCCCTTCCACACCCCGCACTCCCTCCCACTCCCCAAGCCCTTGCCCTGGCCCTGCATACAATTTCCCCACCCAGATGTGGCCCTCGGCCCAAAATGTTTGCCCACCCCTGCTGCAAATAGATTCGTATTTTCCAAGACTTACTGAATTAGCCATTCACTGACTGGAAGGCCTCCATCTTCCACTCTCCTGCACTAATAATACGTGCATCAGGCAAACAACATGAAAAGAGGCATTAAAATGCCCTCAAAAATAAATAAAAAATTGTAACAACCTAAATCATTTAACAGAATATATGTGCACCTGGGAAGCAGAGATTTAAATGGACAATAACAAATCCAGAAAATTAATTAGCAAGCAAAACCTACATTTAGTTACAGGTAAGGTGGCAGCAGGACACACCCCATCCATCCAAAATCGAAAGCCTGGAAATAAGTTCAGGTGGACAACTTGTTAATGTTTCCACTTTCATATTGCCTACAGTGCTATTGATGTACGCTCCTATGCTCCATAAGGCTTTCA